ATATATATATATAATGTACCAGAATAATTTAAAGGTTTCGTCTTTTGAGTCAAAAGCTTAAATGTATTTTTTAAAGCATAGTTAGGAAATAGATTTTAGTTTTCACGTTCGAAAGTGTAAAGAAAGAATGCTAAGGGAAAAATATCATGATATATCTCCCAGCACGAAAGTTTGCATTAACAGAGATTTAATTCAGAATTTTTAATTTTCTACTGAATCTTTTGGTTAAATTATGTAACTTCCGGGCTAGATCAAGCTTTTTATGAGAATTCTGGGAAACCTGAATTTGTATTTCGTACCTATGTATATGTCGCAGGAAAATGATAAAAGCAAATCCCTAAGGGAGATTCATGGAAAAACTCTGTAGGGTGATTTCCCTGAAGAAAGTAAACCTCTAAATTGTTTTAATGATAAGAACGGTTCCTTAAGGGAGATTCATAGAAAAACTCAGTGGGGGGATTTCCCTGAAGAAAGTAAACCCCTAAATTGTTTTAATGATGAGAACGGTTCCTTAAGGGAGATTCATAGAAAAACTCTGTAGGGTGATTTCCCTGAAGAAAGTAAACCCCTAAATTGTTTTAATGATAAGAACGGTTCCTTAAGGGAGATTCATTGAAAAACTCTGTGGGGGGATTTCCCTGAAGAAAGTAAACCCCTAAATTGTTTTAATGATAAGAACGGTTCCTTAAGGAAGATTCATGGAAAAACTCTGTGGGGTGATTTCCCTGAAGAAAGTAAACCCCTAAATTGTTTTATTGATAAGAACGGTTCCTTAAGGGAGATTCATAGAAAAACTCTGTGGGGGGGATTTCCCTGAAGAAAGTAAACCCCTAAATTGTTTTAATGATAAAAACGGTTCCTTAAGGGCGATTCATAGAAAAACTCTGTGGGGTGATTTCCCTGAAGAAAGTAAACCCCTAAATTGTTTTAATGATAAAAACGGTTCCTTAAGGGAGATTCATAGAAAAACTCTGTAGGGGGATTTCCCTGAAGAAAGTAAATCCCTCAATGATTTTAGTGAAAAGATGTGAATGCAATTAATCGGTTCGGATAGTCTTTTTTTACAATAAATATGTTTTTCTTACAGGACAATCATTTCTATCAAGAGAAAAATGGCCTTTTATGATTGCATTAGCTGCCTTAATTATATGTGTTGCTGGAATTCTAGTCATTTCCATGATTTATGGATTAACAGGAGGAAAATATCCCGATGATGTAAGTTACATTATAACTCATTTGTTTATCAAAGCCTTAATTGAAATCTATGTAGAAGTTTTCCACCTCCATGTTTACTACCTCCATGTTATTATTTTTTATGAGCTAAAGTAAATTTAACTGCGTCAAAATTCTGTGACTTACTGATTAACTGATTTATCTGCAAAAGCATTGCTTCACTTTCAGTACGTTTTCGAAATAGTTTAGTACGTTTTTCATAGTTACTACTTTCTTAAACCTCAAGACCCACTATAGTAATTTTTAATTTTAAAGTTTAAAAGCCTTAAAAAAACACAAATTTTCGATAGTTTATATATAATTTAATGAAACAATTTTATGATTATCACTTTTATGCAAAGGCTATTTTAAAAACTAGCTAAAGACTTTTTTGAAGTCGCGACAATTTGAACTCAATGAAGCAAAATTTAAAAACAATTTCAAGAGAATCATTGAAGCAAAATGTAAGTATTATAATTTTCTTTATTATTAAAAGTAGCTAGGGGCTATTTTAGTTTAATTCATGCATAATTTAATTTTTCTAGCTATTATGAACACTTTACATTACTATCAAAAGCTTTTCAGTATCATTTTAACTTACTAAGAAGTCCCGTGGTATCTCTGTTTTTTCTATTTTAAAAAGTCAATATTTTTTTCCTTTTAAAATTTAAATTTAAAATTCAATTCATTTCAAAAGTCATTTGTTTATATAAAATATAATAATTATAGTTTTGTATAAAAATATTTTGTTATTATGTTAATCGCAACAAAATGAACAATTGCTGAGATGTGAAAACTATTCATAATATATTATTCATAAAAACTATTTATAATATACTTAAAAATACATAATACATAGCCACAATAAGAAGAAACAAGAGTAATTTTACTTGTCAACGATCTATATAACTATAATCAACAGATATTTTATTTTTATTTCATGTTATAACCGTCGTTGAACAGCCGACCCAAATTTTTGGTTTACGACTAACTACTTATGTTCAACTCCGCAGCCTTATAATTTTTAACTCAATCACTCAATCTAGAAGACAAGGAAACTCTTCAATCAAATATATGGAGAAATTTGCCCTCACGGAGAACTTATTGATGGAACTAACCACATTTGCGTTACATGGAGAGAAAGACCACGAGAACCTCCCACGGTTATCCTGACGGCAAAGGGGACTCTGACCAATAATTCATCCATCACTGAAAATATTTCACCTCAGCACTGTGGTCAGTGCAAACTGGATGTGGAATTCGTTTAGACCAGCCATCGTTGGGATTCACACCCGGTCTACCTCATTGGAAGGCGAAGGCAGTATCCCCTGAGCCATCGCGGCTCAACTAACAGAGATTGGACAAAAATATGGAAACAAATACTAACTCTACGTAAACAATCTTTCTTTTAGCAGTAAATGTTTTGGAAAATTTTCAGTCGCAAAATTGTTGGCACAATTTGAAAGATTGTGCTTGAAGCTTTTAGAAGTGGCGTCTTTTTTACCCTTTTTTGCTTCGAACAAAATTATACGTTAAAATCCTTTTTCCTTTTTTAAGACCACTATAATTTTAAAATCATTCTAATATAAATATCGCAATCCTATAGAATGATTTCAAAATTGCTGGTATTTAAACTAGAAAAAAAGTTTTAACTTCATCTCCCGTTTTTGATCAATCCGAATTTGGCATGGGTAAACAAGATATCATTTCTAAAACCTTCAATCATGATCTTTCAAATTGCTCCAACAGTTTTGCCATCCACAATCTTCCAAAACATTTGCTGCTAAAAGAAATACTGTTTACATAGATTTAGCATAAAAGTATTTCCATAACCCCTGCACATTATACAACTTTTCAAATTGAAAGCAGCTTTCATCTCTCCATATTTTTAAAAATTTCGATACAAATGCTAGGATTTATGTCTGTTAACATCAAGCGTCTCTCTCGATTCTATTTTTATTTTTTGTTGGTTAACTTTTTTGTTGTTTTTGATATCGAATCTAGCGTGAACTTAAAAAATGAAAATCTCGAGAATGATAAATAAGTCATTCTTCTATAATGGGTAAACAGTTATTATTTGAAACAAAAAGAATGTAAAAACTATCTTTAAAAAAAGCTCTTAAGATTGCAATAACTTTCAAACAAACTAAAATTTTTAAAAAAATTTTAAAAAATTAAAAAAAACATTGAAACTAAACCTTTCATCACGTTAAATTTTAACTCTGTACTTGTATTCTACAAATTCAAACTTAACAGTTAATAACTACTCTTTGAAGATTTTTTACAAGCCTAAGTAATTTCAATTTTCTAAGTCTTATAGTTTTTGCGCAGAAAAATTTATGAAACATAAAACAAGCAAAAATTCGCAGTAAAAGCACTTAAAACAAATTTAAATTCAAAAAAATGAAGCATGTCTAAAGTTCATAAAGAAAAATGACCCTTTTAGAACAACAAATAAATGTGAAATAAGCAAGTGAAGTGATTTTTTTCATACAAACTGTCACAGTTTTTTTTAATTAATTATTTGTTTATTTTTCATTTTCATTTATTTATTTATTTACTTATTTATTTGCTAGCAGTAGGTTGATAACACTAAAAACAGTATAATCTTTTGAAGTCTCACACTCTGAATATGCCTCTATTTAATTTCCAATTACTTTTGGAGTAATTAAATAGAAAAGTCACTCCAATGCATTTATTTCTTACCTCTTTTATCTATAATTCTTCCCACTACAAGTTAATCAAGTGAAATAATTGAGAGAAACGATCTGAAAAGAACTGGTGAGCGGAAACGAGCCTCTAACATAATTAAAGTATAAAATTATTAATAAGCTATGTTATTAAACAAGACTAAGGTGAGTGAAATGCTCTCAAATCACTGTCTGAAAGAAACTGTTTTCATATCCCAGTTTCCGTGACGTAGTTCGGAGTGTTGCCAAATGGTAGTGTGCAGGGAAAGGGAATTAATTAAATTAGAAGAATCATAGCTATTAATCCTAATAAACTGGGTGTTCCTTAGTGACCACCTTTAATATATATTTTAAATGCCTTTTAGATTGAAAATAAATCTACATTTGATAAGAATTAAAAAATAATTTATTTGCTTAATTGCCGGTTAAAGCGTAAAGCTTTTTATAATATTTACTCTTTTACTCCTCCAGATTATTTTTCTTGCAATCAAACAGGTTTTGTATTGCCACCTTCCTCAATAATGATTTGGAAGATTTCTGTGACATTTTTGTTTCTTTCTCGCTTAAATATTGACATGCAACCCTTAATCTGAATATTTTTTGATCTTCATTATCGAAATAGTGTTTAATAAATATATATGTAATAATAGTGGTATTTCCGACCCCCATCCCGTATGTTTATTAGTAACTTATATTTTTGAGGAGCATCTCCTTTACTTTAATCAGAGATTGCGAACCTACGGCGCGAGATTTCGATGGCGAAGAAGTGCATATAAAGCAGTTTTATTTACTAACATTCATGGAAAACAGTATTTCAAGTACGATTTCCCATTTTCTCTTAACAATAGAAGTTAAAGTTATGGGGAATGTTTTATGAGATCTAAAGAGATAACTAAATTGTAAACTATCACCAAAAAAAATCTGTAATTACATGAAATTTTGCGCAATGGCAAGTGTTTTTTACATGATTGATGAAGTTGTTTTATATGATCAACTGTAAAAAAAAATGAAAGGAAAAAAGAAATATATATATATATATATATATATATAACGCCCAGTTTTAGATTTAAGTGACTCAGATATAAATAGTATAGCTGTTAAGAGAAGAACTGATTTTATGAGGTTTTTTATTGTTATAATGTGTACAGTTTTAAATGAATATACACTTATGGACAAAAAAATTAGCGTACCAGGAAGGAGACGTCAAAATGAAACGAAATTTTACATACGTAATGACTAGTTTGATATAAGTAAATGATTAGAAAATCAAAGATTATCTTTTTTCTTTGATTTTCTTATCATTTACTTATATCAAAGTAGTCATTACGTATGTAAAATTTCGTTTCATTCTGTCGACTCCTTCTTGGTGCGCTAATTCTTTTGTCCATGAGTGTATTTTTGCAAAATCGCAAAAACGCAATAAATATCGCATTTTGAACTGTATTGATACACCTAATTGTTCATACTATTAAACATCAAAAATAGCTAACATTATTTTCCTCGATTTTGTTTTATTGCCTCTGGTTTTAGAATCTTAGCTTAAATTTAAGCTGAAATATTTTAAAAATACTGTTCCATTGAAGCAATTTAGCAGAAAATATGGTGTTACTTCTATAGAAGATCAAAGTACAACAGCTAAGAAAAATTTTTAAAAAAAGGCACGGCAGAAAATGACAAACTGAAATTTCAAATTTTTCGTATAAGTTTTGATATACCTGCTTTAGATAAATTATTGCAACTTTTTTAATTCCCGTCCATGAACAATGTTGGGTTAATTAACCAATATCAGTAAAAAAAGAGTTTTATAATAATTGTAGAAACTACATAACACTACGAAAAAATGATTTTATGTGTCCATATTTACAAAAACACTTTCTTTACAAGAGAGGCAAACAAATAAATAAACAAGTTCAAACTATAGTTCATTTTTATCAAATTCAGATAATCAGTTGAATCCAAGGATATTTGGTTTCTTTTTATTTGAAAAAGATAAGTATTAAGTAATCAGTTTGAAAACATTATCAGAAGCACCTTTTTATGAGTTATGCTCCGGATGGTAGTGTCTATTTCATTTTAAAGAATTTAAAAAAAAAAAATTAAAGATTAGACTATTGAATCCAAAGAAATCCGTTCTCAGAATGATTTCTTAAGAAATTAAACTCTTTTGATAAGACATTAAGAGTTCTTTCTACAAAGTTGTCCTATAAATTTATAATGGTGGTATTAAATTAACCTGTTCGAATTTAGATTTTTTAAAACCACTTTATCTGTTCAGAATACGAAGAAACGTCTGAAAAGTTACATCTGTAATCTACTCAGCTTCCCCGACCTCGAAGTTCAGAATTGTGCCCGGAATAATTATGCTCAGTGTTAAAAAAAGTATGTACGAAATATTGTTGTTACATTCTGGATTGAAAAGACTCATTCTTTGCCGCGTTCTTACAAATCCTTTTTTTCCCTAACATTAAACAATTCAAATATTTAAATAGAAAAATCATCTTTCATTTATATTTTTTGCATAACTAATTAACAATAAAACTAACGTTTTATCAACAACAAAAAACTGTTAATTTAGCTATCATAGTTAGAAAGTTGTTTCACAACATATATAGCCTACTTTAAGTGAAACAACAAAACAAAAACGAATGATTTTAATAAATTTGATATTTTACATATGATATAACGAATGATATCAGAAAACGAGTATATATTAATATATTTATTCTACATATGATATAACGAATGACATAACAAAAACGAATATATATTATTATATTTGATATTCTACATATGATATATTGGATGATATAACAAAATCGAATATATATTAATATATTTATTCTTCATATGACATAACGAATGACATAACAAAACGAATATATATTATCATATTTGATATTCTATATGATGTAACGGATGATATAACAGAAACGAATATATATTAATATATTTAATATTTTACAGTTAAAATTTCTTTTCATTTTGGCTCTTTGACAATCACGGAGTAGTCGGATACATAAATCACTGTTATTAACTTTTTCTAAAGAAACTTTTTTGTAGTGGTACCAAAATGACAATTGAAATTAATTTCATTTCATCTAAATCATCCAAATTATTATCAAGACTCTTACGTATTAGTTTAAAATATTCTTATTTATTTGAAAAACAAATTTATTCATTATTATTTTGAAACTACTTCATTAAGCCAAGAAATAAATATTAAATTTTGATTGCTTTTTGAATTCTTTGACTTTCGATATCCAAGAATTTAATTTAGATCTCAATCTAAGATACAATGTTAGAAACTAATTTAGTAATTACTTCGAAATTTTTGTCATTATGAGAATTTATTACAATTGCAAAAGTAGTTAATAATCTACTTGATTGAGAATTGACCTAGATTTGTAATTTTTAGTACACTGCTCCGAAATTCTGAGTTCATGAAGTGTTCGTTAAAAAAAACTTTTTTTTTTCAAAATGAAATTATTTTGTGCATTTTTCAAAAAATTTATTAATATTATTTTTCCTTTTCTTATTATTTTTATCAAACCCATTATTGTATGAAAATATAATTTTTCTTTTCAGTACGGCGTCGTTATGGATGCTGGATCTACAAAAACAAATACACTATTATATTCATGGAAAAGCAATAAACATAAAGGAACTGGCTTAGTAACCCAAGCTACAAATTGCTTTGCCAAAGGTAAACACTTTTTAACAAAGATTGTGTGTTCGACATCACAAAGAAACATCCTGCATTGTACCACTTCCACAGGTGTCAATTATTCAAATCAGAGGAACCTCATCTGACTCTACATAACATAACTGTTATTGATTCTTTTTTTAAAAAACATGAAATACATTAATTTTAAGAGACAGAAGTCTTAGCTTAAAGTGAAAGTTGAACATAATTCGTTTAATTTTGTCAGTAGAAGGTGCTGTACCGGCGCAGCAAATCCCAAGTGGCGAGTTTTTTAGCAACACAAATCCTAAGCACAAGTTTTTTAAAAACTCAAAATGTTATCTTTAGAAAAGGGATTTTTAAAAAGCGCATCATTGTTTCACTTTTTAAAAGCATGAAATACATTAAAATCTATTACATTATATTTATTCACTTATTAAATTTTGAGAGACAGAGAAGAGAGTCTTAGCACCCCATGATACTTTAACTGAAAGTTAAATAATTCGTTTAATTTTGCCAGTAGAGGGTACTGTACCGGCAACACAAATCCTACGCGGCAAGTTTTTTCGCAACACAAAACCTATATGACAAGTTTTTTAGCAATATAAATCCCACGTGGCAAGTTTTTTAAAAACTCAAGATGCAAGTTTTTTAAAAACTCAAGATATTACCTTTAGGAAAGGGATATTTAATAAGTGAATTATTGCTTCACTTTTTAAAAATAGGCGATACATTAAAATCTATTACATTAATTTTAAGAAACAGAAAAGGAAGTCTTAGCACCCCATGATTCTTAAACTGAAAGTTAAACATAATTCGTTTAATTTTGCCAGTAGAGGGTGCTGTACCAGCAACTCAAATCCCAAGTGGCAAGTTCTTTAACAACACAAATCCTATGTGGTAATTTTTTTTAAAAATTCGAGTTGTTGCCTTTAGGAAAGGGATAATTGTAAGAAGTGATTTTTAGATAAAAGTTACTTCTTTAACTGATAGAGAGCCAACATCATCATGTAACATTTCATTTTGATCCAAGGGACCTAGTTTTGAAAAAGCGAACACTTTTCGAATTTCGCATATTTAAATCCTTTATTTAGTTTCTTAAGAAGATATCCAGCACAATTCCAAATATTGGTCTGAAAATATATTATATGTGAAATTTTTCAACAAAAGATGTTTACACAATAATAATGATCAACTTATATCATAGAATTTATTTGCACAAAAAATATATAAGTTTAGGAGTTAAATACGTAAGAAATGTAAGAAGTAATACAAAAAGTTAAGTACATAACAAATAAATTTACGTGTGTAAAACTATGTTTGAAAATTAAATTCAAACAAATAAAAAAACTGAACTTACTATAATGGGTGCTGATAAGTATATTTAACCTGAATAATTGATAAAATATTTATTGCAAAATTAAGAAACTTTCTGTAAAATATAGTTTTTAAAGTGTAGACAAATCATAAAGTAATATTGTAGAGTGATTCAAAACATGATTTTTTAGGTTAACTATCAAAATTATTACTTCCATTAACTTCAAGTTCAATTAAATCATTCCACTGTTTTTGAATACATGCAAGATTTATTAGTACAATTGAAGTAGACGATGCAAGGTTAATGTTTTTAAATTTTTAATATTTTCTGTCGCAAATATGCACTGCTGATTTTTTATACTTACCCTTCTTTACAAGAGCAATGCAATTTTATAGCTGACAAACATTTTTGAATTCAACGAATTATGATTTTTCAATCAGAAATTGAAATAATTTCTTATAAAAAGTCTATGCGAGCAACTAAAATGCCAGCTTTATGTATTCTACTTTCGTATTTACATTCGTTAAACACATCAGTTTAACAAAGTAAAGAAAATTTTTGTCAAAAATGAATTTTGTAGTTGAAATTTTTTAGAAAGTTAATGTCTGTGTTTTTACCCTTAATTAAAAATAATTTAAAAATAAATTAAAGAGTATGAGGTTATTATATGACATAAACTGAACAGCAGGGAAAATTTTCCTTTCCATTAAATAGCATCTCTGTAGTTCAAGTATTTCAGTGAGACATTTAAGAAGAATGATATTCTTACAATATTCATTGCAATGTGATTAAAGTAGAAATAAGCAACTTTCTTTTGATTTTTCAATTATTTTGTAAAGCAATATGTATCTTGTTTATCTGTTTAATGCAATACATTTGTATACAGAGTGGGTTTCCGCAGTGAAAATACAAAAACAATTAAGTGCTATTATATAACAAGAACCGCATTTCAAGTACTGCAATAATAATTAGTTAATAAAATTCTAGTTTGGCAAAATTAATATGGTTTTGAATTTAAAATTATTATTAAAGTTATTTCTGTAATTTTTCACAATCAAATTAATTAATTAAAATTAAGATATAATTTTTAAAAAAATAAACTTCAGTAGCGATCTTGAAATATTTGAATAAACCTATTGGTGGTGAAGTAAATAAAAAAAAGCAATATCATAATGATTTACTTGTATATCTTTGTAAATTAAAGTACATAGTTTAGAAAAATTTAAAAATGGAGAATAAAAAGTATAAATTAAAATCAGTATTTTCAGATGTATATTACGCATGAAAATTTGAATACACTTTAATTAAGTAGTATGATATCAAGAAGAAATATTATAACCAATGTGGCTACACCAATAATTTTGAGTCATATTGATAAGGAATAACAGCCTAACTACAAAAAAGTATCCCGAATCAGAGGCTCGAATGCTCTTGTTTTCGAGTGGCGCCATCTATGACCAAGAACTCATCTTTTGCCTCACCCATACGTCACACCCGTTTCATAGGGCGGACCCATTGACAAAGTCATTCGTTCATTCATACATAGATCGTAATTTTGACCTGAACCAGAGTACGATCCATCTCCAATTCAGTACCCCCAGAGGTTTAATTTGTTATTGGAACATGGAGAGCTTTGTGAACACACAAATTTAACTTGCACCAATCACCATTTACTACACGGGGAGTCTTCGGCCCATTCTCACGAACGTGAGTCCAGCTCCCTGCCAAACAGGCAATCCCGGCCCATTAGCATTTTAAAAATTCTTTTTATTTGTCTTAAACTATTCGAAACATTTTTCATTGACTTCAATATCATGTTTTTTAAACTGAATTTGCTATTATGAAACGACCTGTCTCTGCTTCTAATGACTCTCATACTTTCAAGAATATTACTCAAAAAAAAAAACTTTACTTCTCTCTCTAAGTAACACAAAAACGGCAATTTTTCTTTAATTTCTCCTTCGCATTTAAATTAAGTTTTTGTCACCAAAATATACTTGACTAACTGATAAATAACAGGAAAAGTTGTCTAGCATTAGAACCGTTTGTGCTAGGGGTATGGAATTTAGACAGAGGAACAATTTTAGCCCCCACGATTAAAAAAAGATTTTTAAAAATTTAAATATATGGGTGATTCTCACGAAACATGATATTCACTGTCCCTTGCTCCAAGATCTAATACTATAATACTAAAAGAACTTTTTTTTAAAAAAATTTAATGAATAGCATTGCTGTTAGCATTTTAAAATGACTTTGCACTAGCGTTGACGGTTTTGTATACTTGAAGAATTTAATTGAATATCAAAATGTCATTTTCCTGGCATGTCCCAAACAATATTTCCAATAATAACTAGCTTCAAAACTTCCCATACATTTTTCAAAATCTAATTTTTTTTATCTTATCCTATGTAAGCATTTCTAGAATATACGCAGAGGGTATTGTTTACTAAAACTTCGTTTAAAATAATTTTTTCTGTCAATAATTTGTTTGTCCCATGAAAATCTGTCATTTTCCTGGCTACTTTTATTTAGTGATTTATAACCAAAATAGATAGCGCCAGGAATCAATATCTTATGTTAATAGATTGATTAGATACCCTCCTATCTGAACATGTCTTGTTGCATGAATAAAGAACCAATTTTCTGGCTCAAAATCTATTTCAAAAAATTTTTCAAGGTGAGTAGGTTTTTATGCTGTCATTTTCCTGGCTTCTTGAAATCATTAATAACAAAAACTACATAGATTTATCTGAGTTATTTTAAGAAATACTGTTGTTTTCTGCAGAATATAAACGTCTTCGGCCAAAATATTAAATTAAAGTAAAGTTATATGCTATAAAATGGCGAATTTGTCATTATCCTGGCTGTCATTTTCCTGGCTTATGAATGCCAGGACATTGAAGTGTTACCAGAAATTCTTTTTAACTGCTAATACTGTAAAGAGGGAAAGCAAATATTAACCTAATACCAAGTTTATGTATGATTGTAATATGCTTGGATGTAATCAAAGTTATTTATTTATTTAATGATTGATTATTATACACAATTTTATTCTGTACATATCAGCAACAAAATTTTTTTTGTTTCTTTCTACAGTGGATAAAAAGAATTAATTTAAGCAATTTATGGTCCATCTAACATAAAGGCCTAAGTTGAGTTGCTTACTATTAACTTAAAATGACTGCTTTTTAAACTTCTAAGGTAATATGTCATTTTCCTGGCATTCAAGATATGGGGAATTTCTATTTTATTTTTTTTCTCGAGCAAATGTCAATAAACTACACTGCTGTCTATAAGATATTAGTAAGTGTAGCTAAAGAAGTATACAAAAAAAATGTTAGATTATTTTGAAAACTTTAAATTTGAAGAAAATTTTTGGCCCGAATTGTCATGTTTCGTGAGAATCACCCATATACATTCGGAAGAGACGCGTGAAAAACGACTTTTTATCACATTGTTAAAAGACGATTCTGTTTTTTCTGATATTTCAAGAAAAATCAGAGTTGTTTGATAACTTACAGCTTAGTTACAAAAATGAGTTTAGTTAAAAAATGAGTTTCGAGTTACGTTCTTTAACGTTCATTTATTTTTAATTGCTTGTGTATGTACATAAGAAAAATAAACATGTGGTGATGTCACTTTAAAATTTCATGAGTTTATTTTAATTATAGCTACTCTTTTGAAATAAATTTGTCTAAATCTAAATTACTTAAGGTTGTAATAGAAACAAACAATAATCGAAACACTAATGCAATTAAAATTTAAAGAAAAATAAATTATGTACAAATCATTAACTTGCATTAACTCGACTATCAAAGGTTAAACACGATTATTTTCTATACCGAATGATACTGAGTTTTTATAATCAAGTTGTACTTCTTTTCACATAATGTAAGTCCACAGACAAAAATTAACATCAAAAATTTTTTTAAATAACTTTAATTTTCTATTATTTTAAAATTTTCTTCATCAATTGTTGCTCTTTATTGGAATCTTGGGCATTAAATCACCTTCAACGATGCCAAAATTATTTTCACCTCAGTCATACCGATGCCCTGGAATCTTGTTTTATTCATATGATTCAATCTTGATTCCCTTGTTAACAACATTAGTTCCTCACCGCATCTTCATAGCGCGTGGAAGTGCATTTTACCCTGATTTACCTCTCTCGGACTCTTCTTGTTCTGTTTTTCATCTTCTTTCTCTCTCGGCTACTGTGTTTTTTCTAATTTTACTTCTGACCTTTATTTTTACCATTTTCATTGGCAACTTTCTGTTTTATATTTCAAATCACTTTTTTTTGTTTTCATCCATGTCTAGCTAGTGTTGAAAATGGGCGCCTAGTTTTAGTGCTTGAAACATGTCGACTTTTATTACCTATTTATGAGTTTTTGAACAGAATGAATTTTTTAATCAGGTAGTATCTTACCGTTTCAGTTTCTTGGGAGTATTTATTTAATGACGTGATTACTTTACAAATTAATAAATAAATGACAAGTTTACTTTGAAGCTTTTCATTTATTAAATATAAGCAAAATCGAAAGCAATAATATATAATATAATGTATAAACAATGTAATTTAAATGAATTTTTAGCTAATGACTGTCAAAGATTTTCCTTTCATGTAAATTTCTATCCAATGATTTTTCCGACCAAGATAATGCCCAGACGTCAATTACAAATCGTTTTTGACAGTTATGTTTTAATGTTATATAGATAAAATGTGGATAAATAATGATTTCGAAAAAAGAGAAACTTTTTCTTTATAAGCATACATGAAATCATTAATAACTTCGAAGAATAATGATTTCTGGAAAGTGCTGAATAAATTATAATAAATGTTTTGTCTAAAAACAAAATTTAATAAATTTTGGTAAAGGGGAATTTAATTAGTTTTCATCGATAAAACATGCAGGAGTCTGAATTGTACCGAATTAACGAATGTACGAGACCGTAGGGGTGGGTAAGGAATGAAAAAACCTCCCAGCAGAACCCGACCTGCTCTAAGAATTCAAGGAGTAAAAGCGGAAAAGAGAATAAAATAAATAAAACATTTCTCAACCACAAGACCAGGAAATGTTTCCAAAACCTAGTCAAACTAAGATCATACTTTTCCTTATCTCCCCGAACTCTTATACTCCTACTGGTGAAGGGCTTGGTTTACGCACATTCATCATTTTTTTTTCTAGTTTTATTTTTTTAGTTTACTCTTTTTATAACACATCTCATCTTAGAAGAAGCTAATTATTTCTTCTGGAAGCTTGAAACGTATATCATGCTCAACATAAACTCAAAAAAGAAAAAAATTCAGAATGAATTTTGATGAAAAACGAATTTGTAAAGGTTCCGATATTCCATTACTAATTTAAAATTTCTAGTCATAATAAAAGTGAGGTCACACAGAGAGTAAATGTTAAGCTGAAAGAATTTTTTCAGAATACAAAAAATTCACCTATGAAAAGCATTTGACACAATGTCCTCTTAAGAGGACGCCATACCACGGAAGAAAATTTTCGTTTCAAATTCTCTTTCATTACTAATTTAAAATTTTAAGTGTAGGAAAAGTGAGTTCTGACAAACCTAGAGTATGCCATGAAGTTTCAAATGCTGAAAAGAAAGTTTTAAAATATACAAATGAAAATGAATCATGAAATGATAACTTAAGATTACGCGACGGTGAAGTTCTCTTCTAATAATGTTTGCGCATTTTAATAATTTGCAGCATTTTTTTCATCAGTTGGAACTTCATAACAAACTCTAGGTTTGCCTAAACTTACTTTTTCTTTCCTTTAAATGAGTAATGATGGAAAAAGAGAATTTGAGATGAAAATTTTCTTCCGTGGTATGGCGTTCTCTTAATTCACTATGCAAATAACAGCTCTTACATATTGTTTAAACTGCTTAGAGACTAAATGATTATAAATCAAAAATAAATGGTGGTTAAAACTTCAAGAAAAATCACTCATCAAAAGACGATATTTGATGGTAAAGAGCAAAAACTGGTTAAAAATACATTTATTCTAGCTTGTTTTAAAGGAACTTTTCTTTAATAGTCATAACCGATAAAAAGTATTTATTTCTCCCGAAAATAAAATCTTCTTCGAATAAAACTTTTTTCAGTATTTTTAGCCAAACTCTTTTTTAAGATACAGTTTCTCAAACGATATTAAGAATTGGTAATGGACAGAAAACACCTTGTTATGAGTCATACGACCTTTCTCTCTCTCGTTCTCTCTCTCGTTAAGGCAGAGGGGTGCAATTGTTCTTGTTTTCCAGTGGCGCCATCTATGGTCAAGAGTTCGATTCTACCACACCCATACGCCACGCCCGTTTATAGGGCGGACCCATTCATTCATCCACAGATCGTAATTTTGACCTGAATCAGAGAACGATCCATCTCAAATTCAATACCCCAGAGGTATTGATTTGTTATGGGAACATGGAGGACTTTGCGATTCGACAGATTTAGTGTGCATCAGTCACCATTTCACTACACTCGGAGTCTTCGGCCGGCGGGGTTCGAACCCACGAACTCTCGGGCATGGGCCCAGCTCCCTACCGACCAGGCTATCCCGGCCCCTTCCGGCCCTTAATATATTTGTTTAAACTATTTGCATTAAAACATTTTCCAGTAGAAAAATTATTTTCAGAAGCTAAGGGAACGCTGTGTTGGCCACAGCAAGAAAAAATTTAAAAAGTGGTAACAAAAGTTTCTTATCGGAAATATTGTCGGTTGTTTTCTTGATGTTGTCGGTTTTGACTTCAATTTTATGAATTAATTCTTCACTACGCTCTTATTAAAAGTGAAGAATAACACTGGGGGCCAAAATTTCCGTTGCATTTATACCATCTTACCTAATTCGGGTGTGTCAAATCTGATCAATTCAAATTAAATTAATTTTGTTTCAAAAGCAGCAACAAAAAAAAATTTATACGGTATTTTCGATTTTGTTTATTAGGTTAATTTTTTAGGTCAATGACCATGCCATGATGAAAATGCAGGTTCTCGTCCGATCACCGAAGTCAAGCATTATTAGTCGTGGTCAGTACTTGGGAGGGTGACTACCTGGAAACACAACGTGCTGTTAGCATAATACTCTTTAGTCCCTCAGTAGACTGATCGTAAAGACACGGTTCCCAGTAGAACACTAAAGTCAAGCATCACTGGCTGTGGTCAATAAGCGGGTGGATTACCACTTTGATCAACCTGCGTAAGGACCGAGGGTGAGCATTATCTATCCTCGTTAAACTGTCCTACCGTAAAGTGCTCGACTTCGCGCGCATTTCATCGGGCTACCAAAGCAGGGGAGCCATCCCCTCTGCAGAGGATCAAAATTGCTATGGCATGTCTTTGGATCATCCTCAGGGATGTTTCCCAGACAGTCGCCAATACCCCATTGTGCTACTCTAGTGCGACGTAAGTACTTACCTTTTTTTTTGAGAGACATTAAATTGAGTTTTTACAGAGATTGCGAACGAATTCAATATCTATTAAAGCGTTGGGAATATACAAGTAATGTTAATTCATTATAAATTATTTTCCAAAAAAAGGTTTTATAAAATGTATTTTTTTCTTGAAGGTGGAATAGCTGAAATGGATCCAATGCATCTTGAACCTGTAATAAATTGTGCCAAATCTGTTACAAAGCGTGTTGATCCAAGTGTAAGAAGCAAAACTCCTTTGTTTTTTGCTGCAACAGCTGGAATGAGGCTTCTCAAGTAAGTTTCTTAAACTGCAGCAGATCAAAAATGTTAGCAATTTTAAAAATTTCTTTAACTTATTATATGTAATACTTGGCGAGTTTTTGAATGATTCTAGATTAAAAATTGATTATTTATAAGAGCTAGGAATCACAGATGAATTTTTGAGACTGCCTTTTTTTTTCTGCGACTTATTTGTGACGTCTCCATAACCAACTTAAAATCAGTGTCTTTCAAATCTAAAGAATATTGCCCAGTCCAATGACTATTATATGCCCCGGGATGGCTCTAGGGTTAGAGTGTTCGCCTTCGTATGAGGCGAACTGGGCTCGAATCGCAGTTGAAACGAATTTCGCATCCGGCTTGCACCGACTACAGTGATGACATGAAATATCCTCAGTGGTAGACGGATCATGGGTTGGAGTCCCCTTGCCGTCAGGTTAACCGTGGGAGGTTCTCGTGGTCTTCCTCTCCACGTAACGCAAATGCGGGTTAGCTCCATCAAAAAGTCCTGCATGAAGGCAAATTTCTCCCAATACTCGATCCAGGAGTTCCCTTGTCTTCTGGATTGGATTCAAAATTACAAGGCTACGGAGTTGAACATTAGTAGTCGTAAACCCATAAAATTGAGTTTATGAAATAAAGTAAAATCAGCCTTTCGGACGTGCAGTCAAGTTTGTTTTAGCTGTTAGTCAAATTTCTTTTAGTAGTGTTCTTCTTTTTACTAATAAATTCTTCAGAGAAATAAATTAATTAGGTTGAAAAACCTCAGAATAAAGGTAAGTAATGTTCCTTGAAATAAGGGAAGAAAATAAATTGTTTTCAGTGTTTCCAAAATTAACAGCAATAAATTTTTCGAGGAACTGATTAATTTTTAATATGTGTTAAAAACAGTTATATCGTCGAGAAAGAACGTTTTTTTTTTTTCGATGATCAAATGATGGCTTATAAATGCTACACAAAAAGTGCCTATATATCATCTTTATGAAGAAAAAAAAAGAACATATTTGCTTATATTTAATGGATATTTCTTTCCTACTAATTAAGCTTTAAAAAAGTTTTGACTTCAGATCCAGGTGTTTAGTTAGTTACTAAGTGGGGTAATTATGACCACACAAGGGATAATTGTGACTAGCGATATTTTAAAAACTCGTAAGAATTTTGAAAAATGTGTTTTATCAAGTTCCAAGTGTATATTTTGTTTCGAGAATCTTTAATTAGTTCTTAGATAAAAACTTCGTGTCAATATATAAATGATTCTAAAAAAAGTATCCAAATGGTTGAAAAACAGTTTCAGCGCATATTTATTCAAAGTGATTTCAACCGTTGAAGAAAGTTTTGAGGTTTTTGCTGCTGTTGTACCATTGCAGGCCATTAAGACAATGGGGGCTATTGTTCTTGTTTTCCAGTGGTGCTATCTATGGCCAAGAATTCAACTTCTGTCACACCCATACGTCACACCTATTTATAGGGTGGACCCATTCATTCAGCCATTCATCCACAGATCGTAATTTTGAGCTGAGCCAGAGAACGATCAATCTCCAATTCAGTACCCCTAGTGGTATAATTCGTCATGGACAGGACAGATTTGACATGCACCAGTCACCATTTTCAATCACGAGATCCCTCTAGTACGCATGAAATAGTACTGATTAGAGTATTTGTACGGACTGACCTTGAGTCAGCAATAGTTCTGGAATATGGTCATTATTCCTCCCATCCGGTCAGAATTACCCCAAAATTTTACTTTATGAGAAATTTAGTGGGCTAATTATGACCACCTATTAAAGGCCTGAACATGTTACTTAGATTGATTATTTTTTCTACTTTCTTGGAGAATCAAAAAAATCAACCCAGAACATTTAAAATATTAACTTTAATTTTTTGAAGGAGACACATAATAATTCGGAAAAAAAATTCAAAAGTGTTTATTACCCCTACTGACCCTATATCATTAATCTTCATATCAGGGTTGCTCATTACTATTCTTTTTTAAAAACATTTCTAGTGTGGTAGATAATCAAAAACTTAAGCTTTTAAAACTCAGGGTTAGTTTTCCAACACTTTAAAAGCCTCGCTACATAAACCATCAAATAAGTGCACATTAATTTACTACGAGACTTTTTATATGAAGTTTTAAATCTTTCGCATATAGTGATGAGGAAAGTAATTTTAAATTATGTTTACTAGACACAGACATTAAACCNAATGTTTTTACTAAAATCCTATTTGGAAAGGAATTCTCTCAAACAATTTTGCATGTACTGTCCGGTAACCGTCTGAAGAAAGCTTATATTCGATATCGGAGCCTTGAACTTCTGGATGCTCCGAATCTGAAGACTCTGAAGAGTTGATTGGCAATTCAGTTGGAGGCAAAGGCACAGGCACATCAGATCCATGAGGAACAGGGCGTATGGCCGATGGAATGTTATCAGGATAAGATATTAGTCTTTGATTTTTCCGGTTATACCCACGAACATGGCAGGAACAAAAATAACAATCATCGAAGTGGTTTTGGGGCTCCCTCCACGTCATAGGAATTCCAAATCGTAAAGTAGTCTTCTTTCCTTGATGCCATAAGCGTAGATCATTGAGACACTGCACACAAACTTTATGAGGTGCCCAAGATTTGTCCTGATCTCCGAGTTTCATGCCAAAATATGCGAGATAAAGTTGTCTTACATAGTCTGTAATGTTCCTCATTCGATTTTTAACAACACAATATTCGCCGCATATATAACAAAAGTCATCTGGGAAATTTTCACAATGTCTCGAACTCGAAGCCATGTTTCACGAAACGCACAGAAAAAAGAAGACTTTAAAATGACTCCCTATTACGCTTGCTAGTGTTTCTGAGAGGTCAGCGAAACTAGATAAGGATTCTCGTGACGCTATTGGTAGAGGGAGATTGTGACAGAGAGAGGGACGGTGACAGGAAGTAGTAATAGAGGGGTACTTTTGTAGATTTGACCAAAGTAGAATGCTGGTCAGTCAAGAAGGGATAGAAATTCAAAAACTTTATTTTTTTTATGGTAAATGTTCATAAAAATTCCAGTAAAATTGAATTTTTCTAATTTTTATGGTAAATGTTCATAAAAATTCCAGTAAAATTGAATTTTTCTAAAAAACGTGACGTGATAGAAATTTTTCATTATTATTTTCCACTTCAGCACCAAAAAATAAATTAAGTTCAGCTATCAGACCCTTTGTATTTTCTTCATCGCAGGCCTGTGTAATCAAAAACTTAAGCTTTTAAAACTCAGGGTTAGTTTTCCAACATTTTAAAAGCCTCACTACATAAACCATCAAATAAGTTCACATTAATTTACTACGAGACTTTTTATATGAAGTTTTAAATCTTTCGCATACAGTGATGAGGAAAGTAATTTTAAATTATGTTTACTAGACACAGACATTAAACCATAAACTTCCTTACCACTAGAATTTTTTTTTTCTCCTGTAAAATCTCGGCATTCCTTTATTATAACAGACGCATTTTTTTTTTCGAAATAAGCTATGTAACAATTGTACGTTTTTCTTTCTTTGAAAAAGGAACCCTCCTTTTAAAAGGAGGCTTGGCACAAAATAGGTAAATATTTAATGTCATTGTAACAAAAATTGAATAGCCAATTTATGTTTTAAAGGTAACTAAACATTTTATATTTCAGGTTGAAACAAAATTGTCTATTTTAAAAACAAATTATAGTCACTTAAGTAGGCAGTTAAAATAACGTGTTTGAAAAAATTTCATAATTATCAAATAACTTTTTTTTTATTTACAATGAGATGCTGTGATTACTTTTGTTTCAATTATTTATTTACAGAAATTATGCGGTGCTTGAAGGAAAAAAAACTATACTGCATGCGAGCTGCAAATTTAATATTTATCTCTTTGGAGTGAGCAAAACGTAATATGTTGAACTCTAAGCACTTTTTTAAAAAAAACTTGACAGGATTAAAAGCTAAATTAAATCTAGACGGAAAAGCTTGTTTCCGGGAAGATAAAAATATCCATGACTACCAATTTACAGTAATAACATACATAAAGGACTGTATTTTTTCCCTAAGACAAATTAAATAGGGATGAATAGTTCGAGTTTATTTTGCCGATTAAAATCAGCTATAAATGGAATGATTTTGCTACCAATTTTTCTTCTTTTCCGTCTCACTTTCAGCTTGCATCATACGATGGTTTTCATTTGCAGCAAAATTTATTAACACGTTGAGTATGAAGTTTTTTTTTAAGAAAATCCCCGTCATGTCACGCGCGCTGCGTAGAAGTGGTCGTATTGTATTATAGCAACTCGAAACGCGCAGCTAATAGAGTAGAAAAAAATTATTTTGTAATAAATAAAAATTAAACAAATTTTCAGTAATTGCTTAAAGCAGTGTAACTTTATTTAGTTTTTAATCATATTTTACACTATCAATCACCAATGACTGACGCGAGCTACAGTCACCGTTGACGTACGTGATATTCAACAAGCTAAATAAAAACATACATTTTACTACAATTAAAAAATATTCCAGGAAAAAATACAAGCAGGGCTTAGCAAACATGTATTTCAACATTCCCTGGTAGACACTCCGAAAAAAAGTAATAATTTATGACTGATTGTGTATTAACAAATTATTACATAGTCATATTCAGACTTCCCACGATCTTGCTAATGGTAATATTTTTTCCTCTTTAATCAATGAACCTTAAAAGTTTTCAAAACATCAATACTTTCATGTATATGTAAAATCCATTTTTAAAAAAAATAATGCAAAAGAAAGAAAATTTTCCCTAGCATTCAGTTTTTTGAAGGCTTGTGAAAGATCTCTTCCCACCCATATATTTTCTTTAAAAATTGTGGTGGATACTCAATAATTGTCTCCTTTTCCATGAAATTTTTCGATATCAATTATCAATTTAAACATAGAGATATAGGGCTGGGATAGCCTAGTTGGCAGGACACTGTTCCTGATAACTGGAGTTCGAATCCAGCTAACCGAAAACTCCCCGTGTAGTGAATGATACTGGTGCACGCTAAATCTGTCGAGTCACAAAGCTCTCCATGTTCCCAGTAACAAATTATACCTTTAGGGGTACTGAATTGGAGATGGATGATTCTCTGGTCCAGGTCAAAATTACGAATGGATCTTTGAATGGGTCCACCCTGTAAACCGGTATGGTGTATGGTTGTGGCAGAAAGCGAATTCTTGGACATAGATGGCGCCACTGAAAAACAAGAACAATTGCACCCCCTCTGCCTTAATGGCCGACGACAACAACAAGATGCAGATATCAATTTAAACATGCTTGTTACTCTAAACTAAATTCAGTGGTGTGACAGCCCATGGAAAGCAGAGGCCTACTGTACCCATCTTGACCTCAGACTCGAGAGTAGAAGTTCTGGTTAAGTGATCAGCCGAACGCAGAAACCCTGTGTTTAGTCCTCGGAAACTCACTGTTAGTCCTCGAGCATGCTTGGTTCTCATTTTATCGACCCACTGAAGAGATGAATTGCTACTCCAAGTTAAAAGCTAATAATAATCGGATTTTATTTATATGAACGCACTTTTCATGAAATTTTTACAACATATAAAAAAACTTTTCACGAGTAAAATCAAATACATGTAACATTTTTATTGCAGTTTAACTAATCCAGATCGAGTCGACGAAATATTGGAACAACTGAATTTGAATTTGACAAAAACTGGTTTATCTGTGGAAGCTATAGAAATCATTTCAGGGAAAGATGAAGGAATTTATGGTTGGATTGCTTCGAATTTTCTTCGAAAAACGTTAGAGACCCCCCAGGTATCCCATGATATTATTGTACCTTACTCACTTTATGTTTCTTAACGATACAGAGAAATCACTTTAAAAATTGTTCGAAAAAAGTAAAGACACTACGAGATTTTCATATCAACTGAAAAAAAATGATTCATTGCTTGAACTTGAATTAATATTCTAGTGAGCGTTTTATAGATACGCTTAAAGATCTGACAAACGAGAATTCTCTTGCAAACAGTTTCTTTTAAAAGATAATATACAGGGAGTGGACCAACTAATGGAATATATGAAATAGAAAAAGACATATATAAAATCTTTACAATTGAAATAAAAATGAAAATATAAATGTGTGTTATATTTTCACTTTTATTTTAATTGTAACGATTTTATATATGTCTTATTTCTATTTTATGTAAGACAAATTTGGTTTCAGCTGCCTTGTGCGCTTTTCCAATTTGATTTAATGTTTCAATGTGCTTATTTACCCCTTATGTATTAAAATTGACTTCGTAAATTGAATGGATTTTATGATTAAATGGAATATATGCTAACACATTTATATACTAGTATACATTTATATACTACATACATTTATATACTAATATAATAATACACTCCATGCTAATATAATAATACACTCTATACTAATACATTTTTTTTTCATATTTCTCAAGAAATACTTAATCATTTTATAACTTCAGAAGATCATGCGATTTCTCATACTTACCAATGAATTTTAAAGCTTTTTAGAGGTTCGACGGAGCGACAATGAATTACAAACGGAAAATAGTGTTTCTGAACACCCTATGCCAAAAAAAAGTGGCGATAATTTGTAACTATTGCTTTGGTTATTCAATAAAATAATTTAATTTGTTACTTACCTTGGATTGGCCCAAAGTGCAAGGTAATAATATTATACTGAATAATTTAAAGTATATAATTAATAAGGTTGATATTTAATTATACAACTTTAATGATTTTAGAAAAGTAACATTTATTTTAAAAAAAGAGAGAGAGAATATGATTTGCCAGTTTTCCACAGTTTTTTAGCCACGGATTTGCCCGAATTGGATTTGCACATGGTAAAAATATTGATAAAAAAGGAAGTTTTTAGTAAATTTATCAATAATAATGTTGTAAGCGATTCGTGTAAAAGCTATCATGAAGATCTGAATCAATATTGAATTTACCAAGATCTAAATCAAACAATGACGATAATCTACAATGAATTTATTTCTGCTCAAATTTATATTAATTAAATTTATGCTGCTTAAATTTACATGAATTTATATTATTAATTTGAATGTTCTCCTGTGACCTAAAAGACTGCGGTACACTTCGCTTACTTTTCCTAGTAATTCTTAATGATGAAAATCCCACAGTTTCTAAAGACGGGAAAAACCCTGTAGTTTTAGGAGTTAAACCCGGAATTTTGGGAAATATTGAGAATTTTGGAGGCAAATAAAATGGCTAATTTTAATATAAATTGAGAGATTAATGAACGTAATATAACCACTGCAATAAAAAAATCTAGAATTTTTATTGATATACATCAATTTAATTGCAATGGTTTTAAATGTGTTTTTTTTTTCTAAACACGTCAATCCTGCATTATTTTACATAAAACTAAATTTAATAGTTTTTTCTTTATTAATTTTAAAAACTACTATATACTTAATAACTTAAAAATTTATTCGAAAAATGTCAGCTTTAAAGAAATGCATAATGATTACTAAAAAGAGAACTATGTATATTTATAAATTTCTTACTTTTTATATATTTATAAATTTCTTAAGCAACGTATTAAGAAAATAGCATAATGCTGAATGTTAATTTTTAAATTTTCTATCAAATAAGTAGCAAAAAGTTAAAATGTTTACAAGAAACTAATTAACTTATTAACCATGGTTCTTCTCGTGAAAAGAATACTTCCGCTTAAAAATGAAAACGTTTTGTTTTAAAGGCCCTATTAAAATTCTTTAGAACCAGCATTTTCAAAATTTCCTGCCAAAAAAAAAAAAAATTATTTATTTCCGAGAATAAACCGAGCTTTTTTCTTCCACATCTCTTATAATTCTGAATTGTGTTATTATCGTTATTTTATTTCTGAGGCTGTAACACTTTTTTAGGGGTAACCCTTTTATAGTAATTACTTTTCAAAGAGAAGATAAAAACTGTAATTAATTCCTCATTTAACACTATTTTTATTTTATTTCTGTTCGTTAGAATAATCTTTTTAATTTAAGATTGACTCTGTTATTCTTTTTAACATTTGAAATATTTCTATTTTTTACGCAAAATGTTTCACGTGTTACTTGAGTTTTTGGTTCTTTTTTTTTTTCAGTGATTCTTAAGATATAACTTTTTGAAAAACATAATATATTAAAGTGTGTTAAAAATCAATTACTTATTATTTACTAGAAATATAGTTTTTTTTCGGGGAGATGGTTAGACGTGTATGATAAAATGTTTTGCTTAGCTTTTTGACATAAACTCAAGGCACCAAAATACATTAAAACATATTAACTTTCGGTTTTTCATGTTGCCAATTTAGGAATTTTAATTCGTATATATTAAGAAATTAAGATGTATCACGAAAAAAAAATTCCAAAATTCAAAATTTGAAGTTGATTTAAAAATTTACGTTTGCAATAATCACATATTAATCAAAAAAATTTTCCAAATTGAAAAATATTTAGATCGAAAAGGGACTTAAGATCGGAAAGGCACTTAAAGTTTAGTTCTTTCTGGACAAAAATGTTATCTTTAAATTGTTTTTAAAATCCTACACATTTTTTTTTAATTCAAAAATTTTTGGTTTCGAATGTAAAACAAACAGTACACGAATATATTTGAAATGTAACATTTAGCTCTGTCGGAATATATGTGAAGACTTCTATAAACTCATATTTTCAATTTTGATATCCAAGTTTGGTTAAGTTAATTCCTGGTTAGAGTTAGGCTTTCCTTAAAATTCCGGGAAGTCTAAATGTTACGCTTCATAAATATTTTTTTTCTGTTCCCTTACAGTTCTAAATAATAAAACCGAAATTTAATAATGTACCGTTAATGTTAGGGTATTAAATAAAAAAATAAAAAAAAAGAAAGAGTTTAACAACTAAAATTTTACAATATAAAAGGTGGCACGTGATTAAAAAGTTATAGTGGCTTGCAACCAGGCAATTGTAATAACCCAGTCAATTGCAGAAAAGCAGCAATCTAAAAGAAAAAGAAACAGGGATGGAAATCACAACATACCTTCAGCTTAGGGAAGATCACCTAAAAAAATCCTTGGTCTCAAGAAGAAGGAACACACAAAACATTATGTTTTACTTAGAAAACCACTCACAGTTTATTTTTCTTCTTCAAAAAATAAAAAACAGACATGTAGGGTCACCACAAAACATTTTAGTTGATGTGCGAGAAGTGGAACTGGTGGACGGCAATTTATTTGTATTTTTTTTTTAAATTTAAGTTTTTCTCATCCAAAAAATGAAATTTTCGTCCTTTTCTGGGACACGTAAGTATTTTTCAATTAGACAAAAAGAGTTTTTAGGTGACAACCTCTTAACGGACATGAAATTTAGAAAAAAAAATTCGTGATTGTGCATTGTAAAATTTTATTTAATTTTAGAATCCTGATTCATGGGTGCCTACTACATATGGATCTTTGGATATGGGTGGAGCATCTATGCAAATTACTTATGCTTTACCAAAAGATGAAGCAGAAAACGGAACTGATGTAACAGAACTTGAACTGTATGAAACAACTCATTACTTATTTTCTTTCAGTAATTTGTGTTTTGGAAGACAAGAAGCTGAAAGAAGACACAGATCATTATTAGTAACGGTATCTATAGTTTTGATATCAATAATTATTACAATAAAACCTTTTTTTAACTTAAAATAACTTAAGAACGGAAAAAGTACTTAATAATAACTTTGCAATTTACTTAGGATTGTATAAGATTGATTAAATAAGAAGAAACATTTACTGACCGAAATATTGTTAAAACACTACAATAATTATAATTTTTTTTTGCTTCTTATGGAATTAATAATCCGGATTATAGGGATTGTAGTGAACTTTTGTAGTGGTCTCTACCGTTTAATTAAAGTCATTTTATACGCTGAGAGTTGAAAATTTGATATTTCATTTATCTCTAATTTCATTTCTTCAGTGTTGGTTGTCCAAATTTAAATTAGAAAGTGTTGGAAATGAAATAACGGCATTTTTTAAACATTATGCCAAATCTAAAGTTTGCATGGTCTTCCTATTTTAACTAGGGCGAACAAGTTGCCCTATATGGAAAAAAAAATTCGGCAACTTTTTCTCGGAATTAAAATCGGTATTAAAGGTTCAGAATTTCTTTACCCAGGAGAAAATGAGGATTTGGTTATGAGTTTTTTGATACGAAATTGGTGAACTCTATCGAAGAATAATCTATCGAAAATCACTTATTTCTTCCATAGAATGTAAAAATTAATTGTTTTTAATATTTATTATTTATTTAGCCAGTTAATAAAAAGTTGGATCACTCTTTTTATCATACGGTAATTAAAATTTTAATCACTAATTTTATCATACGGTAAAAATAATTTTTTAATGAATTTGTGAACAATCGTGGATGAGTCAGCTCACTCAAACGGGTTTTGACTGCAGTTAAGAAAGTGAAATCCTGTGAGTTTTTCTTCTTCTTTCCAATAGTCTTCCCGACACTCGTATCCAATTTCATTTATTCTTTTCAATGTTGTTTCTAAGTTATTTTTTAAGCAAATGAATAATTCTAAAATGATCGGCTTTTTTAACGAAGCTAAAATTTTTGTATGAATTTTCTAAATTTATTGACGCTCTTTCATCTAATTATTTATAATTTAAAAAAACTTCAAGAAGATTTTTTTTCATTTCTACTACATGAGATTTTTTTTTCTCAGATCTTAAACACTTTCGTGTCGTGGATTTCAAATTTGGTTTCTTTTTACAAGCTATAGTTTTTATGCAATTTAGTCAGGATTTTTTAAGATTACCTCGAATGTTCCCCTTTCTCTGGTGCAATACAGTCCATATTATTCGACGCATTCTAAGATTGCATCTAAAAGTAGAATTATCAGATGATACTATACAGCATTATTGTTTTTACGTGACTGAAACCGGTTTATACTTGTATATGATCGTGTATCAATTAGTCAATGCAATTCGTTAAAGAAAATAATATAATAATGCATGTAGGAAGCATATAAAAAATCTCCTGAATAAAAACCCATGACGTATGTGTTTAAATATAAAAATATTGCATATAAACCCGTGCAAAACATGTCATTATTAAAACACTAAAGTGCGTCGAATAATTTGGTTTAATTACTATAGCATACTAATATAATACCAGATATATCTATATTTATATAATATATCGTNAATAATGTTTTTTTAAGAATATTTTGATTATTCAAATTAATAGATTTAAATTTATTTGTAATAATAAAACAGATTTTCTTTCCGCTATAGGGAATTTCAGGATTACATTAATGAATAATAATTTTCCTTTTAATTACTGTGATTATGATATTTTGATTGAATATATTTTAAAGACATTCAAATAATTCGGCGGATATTGAAGCCAGCATAAATAGGCCTATGCGGTGAAATTTAGGATTTTATGCTCCTAAAGCATACAGATGGCAGCATCTTTTTACAAATTTTTACTCATTGAATGTTTTTTCTGTTTTATTTTTTCAAGATTTTCAAAAAAGGGGTCAGCACTTGATTTATTTCTAAAGCTTTCTTAATGATTTGGAAATTTATATTTTGTTTTGATGTGGCTATTCTATCTGTAACTTTATATTTATTTATTTTTCTTATTTATTTATATGTCTTTCTTTGTGTACTTTTAAGTCATTATTAAGACTTACTTTGTGATTTTCAGTCATTTATTTATCTTTGCATTAACATTTCAATTTTTCTAATTGCTTTTTCTTATTTGATTTTCCATTATGGGGTCTCGGGGCACTATTAACTTTTGGTTTCACCACTGACAACGGAAAGGCTCCTGTGAGTTAGCAAGCAGTGTGTCCCCTGATGAAGTGTTGTCCCGCTAACACACGTATCCTAAAATTTTTATAATTTTTGTTTTCTACTAGAATTGTTTTTCTGACTTTATAGATGTCTAGATTTTTTTAATATTGGTCCTATATAAGGCCAATATGAAGCTTATATTGACTGAAAAATGAATCTAAAATATCTGATGATTCTATAGAGGGCCTATATGGGTTGTAAAGTGGCTGTAAAATATCGGGTGAATCGGACAATTCTATGTAGGACCCATATCGGAAAAATAACGGCCCTTTGAACCCCTACTGAGCCGAAATTCGGGAATATTGGTCCAATAAGGACCTAAATTATTTTGCTGTTAAGGTGCTATGTTTTAAAGAATTTTGCTGTTAAGGTGCTATGTTTCAAAGGAATTGTACATTCAGACAAATGCGAAAAACAGTGTAATTTAAAATTATTATTTTTCCAGGACATTACAAAGAGGAATTATACGGATCCTTGTTCCCCATTTGGTTATGAATACGCAGTTTTAGGAAGAGAATTGTTTGAACGTCCCTGTACAAAAAGCAAAATTTTTGATGCACAAATCAAGGAAGATCCAAGTATATTAGTAAGCATGTCTTCTTAATATTCCGATTCTTCATATTTTTTTAAAATCTGTAATGTATCTACCCAGGGCTAAAGAGAAGAAAGAAGGTCTAGTTCATTCCGCTCTTAGAGCTGAAGCTACGATTTCTCTCCTCATGACGTCACTGTAAACACAGATCACGGAGATCGCTAGCAAAGATATTAAGATACTTTTTCTGGTTATTAGATTTCAAACTTTACATAATTAACTCATTATTTCCGTTCATAAACATAGTTCAAAAAAACTTTCTAGGCCATTATATTAAAAAAATACCATTTTAAACATATAAAAAATTTTTACTGGTTGGCGAAAATGAGATTATAAATACTTTATTTTAAAAAGTTCAGTTTTAACTTTAATAATTAAGAAAAGCATATATCGACACTTTCTTATCTACATAATCTTTGATAACTATAAGTTAGGTTAAATTTAGAATCCTGATTTTAAAGTATGCCGTTAATAGCGATTTGTTCATACTTAATCATTAGGAAGCATCAACCTTAAACGCTAATTACTGAAACAAAATAATTATTTAGGTTCATAATGATATTTGAAATTTTGAAATTGTTTATAGATATTTAAATTTAAGTTAATATAATTTAGAGATATTTAATTTTAAGAGAATATAATTAAAAAAAATCATGAATATTTAGAATAACTACATTAAAAAATATGTTATGAAATTAGGAGAATTCCAACTATATACTATATATTTTATTTATACTTTTTATTTACATTTTAATTTTCTTTGACTTTATCCATTTTTTAATTTTTTTCACCTGCCTTTCTTTTTGAAGTAACGAGGCGGTTTCTATTTAGATGGTGAATTTTTATAAAAGTTCTTAACTATGGAATAAACGTATTGTTGTTTTATATTAACTGTGTCATTTCGTTTGCAATTCGTTGAATCCATTCTTCACATAGTTGTTCATTTACTTTAGGGAACACGTGGAAAATTATATTTTTTCCTTTTGTGTTTCGATCAGAATTTTCGCAAGTTGCAGTCGCGCAAACTGGCATTTCACTAATAGTTTTAAATTTTGGAAATTCACTGCAATTAACTGAGGAAAATCATTCTATAAAACAACAAATGTCTTGAAATATGTCACAAAAAAGAATGCTCCAATATTAGTTTGAGCTACTTAGACCGAACGCTCCGTTCTTGAAGTCTAAGTGCAAGCTTGTGACGTCACTGGAGAAAATCGAAAGTTTGGCGCTGCGAGAGTTTCTTGAAAGGAGTGAACCAGCCATTCTATTCTCTTAGCCCTGGTAGCTACCACTACAAAAATACAATCCTAATTCACTAGTATATAAGGCATGTTAACTCGATTCTATGTCGGGGTACCTTTAGACGAAGGTTGGTAACAACTCATCCCCCCACATTGGTGACCTTCGGACGTGATGTGAACACGCCTACCTTGGCAATAACGCACGCTTCGATCTGAACACGCCTACTTCGATGAATGGTCCACATTAAACAGTTGACCTGTGACTGCGACATTATCCTCATGCTGTTACTACTCAGTTTCGGTCACACGCAACGTACTCGTAATCACTCGACTGCTAATAGCAACACAGGAGCGACCACGATCGTGAACTTAATACAGCTCTCAGAATCAGCACTCAAAAAGTACAGGGATCTTAATACAGCTCTCCTGGCTTCTCACAAAACAGCAGTGGTAGCCATTCATCGAATTCTATCACAGATATAATTCTGGTGGGAAAGTATTGTAGTGTATTTACCACTACAAAAATACAATCCCAATTCACTAGTATATAAGACATGTTAACTCGATTCTATGTCGGGGTACCCGTACATACACGAAGGTTGGCATTGTCAATAGCAATTCACCTCCACAAATCTATTTAGTGTTTCTCAAGTGATTTGCATGTTGGTAAGCAAATTTTCAATATATTTGGTAGGTACTTTCTTTGCATCGCACTAGAGCAGCACAATGGGCTATTGGCGACTATCTGGGAAACATCTCTAAAGATGATCCGAAGACATGCCATCGCAATTTTGATCCTCTGCAGAAGGGATGGCTCCTCTGCTTTAGTAGCACGACGCCCTGCGGGCGAAATCGAGCACTTTACGGTAGAACAGTTTCACAAGAACTGATACCGTGCACCTTCGGTCCCTACGCATTCTGATCAAAGTGGTCAACCACCCGCTTACTGACGGCAGCCAGTCATACTTGACTTCGGTGTGCTAGTGAGAGCTGTGTCTTTACGATTAGTCCACTGCGGGACCAGTATATTTGGAACAAATAAAAATGCAATAATTTAATTTAGTTTAAAACAAGATGAACCCTGTGTGTACGAGCGAAGTACAGGGTATCGCATGGATGCCGGCGTTAGTAACGAAAGAGTTTACCAAAAACACCAAATGAACAAAACACCGAATTGTCCATCAACAAGCAGATGGATTTTTAATGAGCTCTTTTGTATTCGATACAAAAATAATAAAATATTGAATGCATGCATTTAATTTTTCCAAGCATACGGTCTTCATTTTTAATATTATCTTAATACTCTGAAATAATAAAAATAGCTGTAAAATATTTTTTGAAAAATCAAACCACACATTTTATTATTATTTATTCATCGGATACAAAAAAAAATGGTGTACAGAGCGCAAAATAAAAAAAAATGGAAGAGCTTGATTAACTTTTGATCTAATGGGTAGAATTCTGTTAATAAGACAAAATCTTAGTGATTCGAGTGACTAACCTTAAATATACTAAAATATTTGTGAATACGATATTTCAAATTGCAAAATCACACACAAAAATGTACTTCTTCTAAATAAATATACGGTTTGTTAACCCTCAAACTATGGAGAGTAACATAGATAAGCCGTTGAAAGCCTCGTAATGTTTCCTACTGAATAGTATTAAAAAGTCATATTTTTAAATTTCTCTCAAACTGTTTGATGGATTTCGTACAAATTTTGGATCCTTAAAATTCAAAAATTTTTGCCCATTCTGGAAATAAACAGTAAAAAGTTTAAAAAAATTAAAACATTTTATTTTTTCCTTAAAATTATCAGTTGCATGAAAGACGCAACATGAACTTTCTTATCTTTCAACCACTTTCTTGCGGATTATATTTCCCACATTCCTTTTTAAAAAAAATTTCGTAATTCCATTGGTATTTTAAAATTTAATGTTAAGAGTAAACCATGGCAAAAAATTTCGTCTTCATGGTTTACTCTTAAACTTTTTATGCTCTTCCTAACGATACGGCGGTACGATATCAGATGTCATAATTTTTATTTTGCAAAACTTACCAGATATAAATTCTGTGAATTTTAGTTACCCTCATTGTAGGAATCTACAAAAAGCTTTTATATTGTTAAGATATTTGGCATCTTCCCTGATTATTGACACTTCAAATAAGTGCAATTGTTGTTCATTAAAAATAATATTAAACTTTTTACATTAAAAGTATAAAAATGGGATAAAAAAATATATATAACACAAGAAAAATATTTTTTTCTTATGATCGATTTATACGCCTCTTTGTCGCAGATGGAAATAAGGTCATCTTAATTAAATTTTCACAAATGGTAGATTCTATACCGCAGTATCTTTCTACAATTTGTGATATAAAACTTACCGTATTTCTATTCTTTTGTCAGACAAAATTATACCAATACAATCCCGGCAGTGTTTGAAATCTTGCATAAAGTTCTGATAACTGTTTTGGTAATTGAGTGAGCGTGAAAATCCGATAACTAGATCAAAAGTTATTCAGGGTGGTCAATTTATTTATTTATTTTTATTTTTTGTTATTATTATTATTATTATTATTTGCCCACTATACATCAATATCGGACCTACTAAGTTCCTAAGCAAGCAAATACTGATTAATTAGGATATTTAGTATGTTATAAAATATTTATGCATAATTAGCATATTTTTCCTCGAAAGATTAAAATCGATAAGTGAAAATCCGATCCGTTATTGTGTTCATTTTTCGCACTGAAAAGCCAACAGTAATAACTGGGCATCCAGCGATCCCTCAGCATTACTATGGTGTTTTATAAAGTTTTGTTATAAAATGCTTTTCATGCTTTTAGATGAAAAGTTCCTGATCACCCCAATAATTCGAAAGCACATATAAAGAGTTATATTAGAAAGAAAATTTATTTTATTTTATAACCGGTGTTGAACAGCTGACCCAACTCTGAGTTTACGATTATCAGTGTTCAACTGCGTAACCTTGTAATTTTGAACCCAACCCAGACGACAAGGGACCTCTTGGATTAAAAATCGGAGCAAACTTGTCTCCGTGGAAGATTTTTTTTAATGGAAGTAACCCGCATTTGTGTTGCATGGAGAGAAAAACCTCCCACGGTTACCCTAACAACAAGGGAGCCATAATCCATCTACTACTGAGGATATCTTACGTCAGCACTGTGCGAGCTGGTATCAACAAGCCACTGCTTGGACTTTATTTTATTTTATTTTATAACCGTCGTTGAACAGCAAACCCAATTTTTGGGTTTACTAATGTTCAACTCCGCAGCCTTGTACTTTTGAACCAAGGCAAGGAAATTCCTGGTTCTAGTATTGTGAGAACTCTGCGTTCAAGGAGGACTTTCTGATGGAACTAACCCGCATTTGCGTTACATGGAGAGAAAAACCATGAACACCTACCATAGTTATCCCGACGGCAAAGGGACCGTAACCCATGATCCGTCTACCACTGAGGATATTTAACGTCAACACTGTGGTCAGTGCGAGCCGGGTGTGGAATTCGTATCGACCAGCCATTCCTGGGATTCGAACCAGGTTCACCTCATTGTAAAGAGAACACTCCATCCCCTGAGCCATCCCGATTCACCGCCGCTAGGATTGGGTCACCTTTGCAAGGCTATGGGTGAAAATTAATAAGTGTTTACTGAATCAATGATAAAGTAACTATAATTATAACGAGGGGAGGCCTTTAATACTATAAGAGGGATTGTTCTTTCCTATATTTGTACAGAAAAATATCTATTTTTTAAAACTTTTTGACTAATTTTATAATTTCTTTGTCAGGATAAAAATTTTACTTTCACTGGTACAAGCAAGCCAGATAGTTGCAAAAGTGCTGTTTCCAAACTTTTAGATAATGATCTTTGTAAAGAAAAAGGATTTAAAGAATGCTTCAGAAGAACACATAATATTTCTAACAAGAATAAATTTTTGGTAGGTATAATTTTTTCTGCAATATTTACATCGTGTATCCGTCGTTGTGTGAACAGCCGACCCAATTTTTGGGTTTACGACAACTAATGTTCAACTACGTAACCTTGTCATTTTGAACCCAATCCAGATGACAAGGGAACTCCTGGACAGGGTCCGACTGAGCCTAATTGGGGCCAGGGGCAAAAACTTATTTGGGGGCCCCCTCTTCTTCAGTAATGAAGAACTGAACTTTATGGAAGTATTTAAATTTTTCACATCATTATAAATAACAAGAAAATTGACTAGAACCTAAAATAGCTATAAAGTCCCTCCCTCTCCAATGGTCAGACGAAAAATCGATCTGTCCATTTTATTGCTTTGCTGGCAATTCTATGTCCATTATGCCGAATGTAGTTTTCTTATTATTAACTTTGTCATCTAGCTGCGAAAAATTCATATCCTTGATGACATTAGGGCGGAATTCAGCTAACTTTACGCAATTACGATGGCTGAATTAATTCAATCAAAAGCCTGTATTTTTGTAAACACATCGGATTTTGCGATACGTAAAAATACAGGCTTTTGATTGACCAAATTTGTCCATCGTAATTGCGAAAATTTAGCTGAATTCTGCCCTAGAAATCCATGGATTTGCGAAGTATAAATTGTGTTCATACGATAGATTAATGAAAAAGCTAACAAGAAACTGACGGATTTTACACTGTACTGATATTTCGTTTAAAAAAGTTCATTAAAGAATGAAACGTAAAATAAACTTTCTATTCGATTTAGGGCCCCCCTCTGCAGTGGAGGCCCGAGGCAACTGCCCCATATGCCCCTGTCTTAGTCAGACTCTGCTCCTGGATCAAGTATTGGGAGAAATTAGCCTTCGAGGAAGACTTTTTAATGGAACTAACCCGCATTTGAGTGACATGGAGAGGAAGACCACGAGAAACTCCCACGGTTAGCCTAACGGCAAGGGGACTCTAACCCATGATCTGTCTACAACTGAGGATATTTCTCGTCAACACTGTATTCGGTGCAAGCTGGATGCAGAATTCATATCGACCAGCCAATGCTGGGACTCGAACCCGTTCACCTAATTGGAAAGCGAACGTTCTATCCCCTGAACCATCGCTGCTCACCGTGTATTACTGATAACTGAACTACTTGTAGGTTTGGAACTACAAGTAATGAAACAACTGCAGCCTCAATTCCTTTCATGGTTTATAGTGTTATAAGCAACATTTTTTTTAAGTAGTGTTGTGAGTAAAGCTATAACAAAAACATGAGTAGCGATTCTTGGCAATTATTTTTAATGTTAGTTTAGTAAAGAAACAAATGAAATAAACTTTTGTCATCTTACGTGAATTCCATCAGCAAACGCAACGAGAATGTCCCCGAGTGATTATTTATCAATTCACTCATAATGTAGATTATGCCATATCAAAAAAATGCACGATTTCAATAAAATAGAACATATTTTGCACAGTAATTGTAAGTGAACTGAGAATAAAGTGAATCCTACAGCAAAATTCATGAAGAAGTGACTACATTTTGAATTGAAAACACTTCGTTAACTACATTTGTAGTTAACTACAAAAAAAAAAAATTCTACCACTGGCTACTTGACTATAAATTGGTGACAGATACCTGGAAAACAAAATGCTAGTAAGGATATTTCATTTTTCTGGAAAAGTATTGCCCGTGTTTTCCAGATTAGTAACAAATTTGAAATAGCTGTTTTCGTGGAAGCAACATTGCGTCGATGTGACTTTTATTCTGAACAAAAAGCGTGTTTAAGAGGACGCCATAGCGCGGAGGAAAATTTTCGTCGCAAATTCTCTCTCTCTATGGGAACATGAGGGACTTTGCGACTCGACAGATTTAACGTGCATCAGTCACCATTTCACTACACGAGAAGTTTTCGTGAACCCACGAACTCTTGGACACGGGCCCAATGCCCTACCTACCAGGCTATCCCGGCCCTTCACTACACCATTTTGTAGGATCGGATCCTAAATAATAGTTCTCCAACAGTTTGTCTTTCACAAATGGAGAAAATAAAAATTGACATGTTTTATCTAACTGCCCCAGTAAGTGTTTATTGACGCATTTCTTGTATTGAAAAAAATTTTACTTTCATATGTTTTTCACGAGATATCTCTATTTTAAACAACTTGTACCTAATTTTCATTTTATGATTACAACACCATTTGTGAATCAAAATGCAAAAACTTTTTTTTTTGAAGGATCGAAATTTGTAATTCGAAATATGTGTATTGCGAACCCCAGGGAGTGAGTTAGAAGCTCGAGTTAGGAATTTATCTTTTGAAAACATTGTATTTTAAGATTTTTGATTCGAGACATATGTATGCTAAATAAGTACTGTGAACAATTGTACAAAAAGGTAAATCAACCAAAATTAGTTCATTTCTCCTTTTATAGGCATTTGCAACTTACTATTTTACAACAAGTTTCTTGAATGTAACTAATACAACATTAGAAAATTTTATAAAAGTAGCTGAAGACTATTGCTTGAAAAATGAATCAGAGGTATATTATTTTCTTTGTTTATATAATCCCTCCCATAAATTTTAGAACTTTCATTTATGCCTTTAGAAGTCATGCCAAAATTGAAGTTAAGAAAAGTATAAACATTAGGAGTCGTTAATCTATCTAATTACAAAGTGGCAAAGAAAGGATTAAACATCAAAACCAGTTTGATTGCCTGATAAAACTTTCAATTTCTAATAAAAATTTATTTTTTATCTTCCAGAATAACTTTTGATCCCAGTGATCAGATCTTCATGTAATAAGACTCAATCTTTGAGCTTAGTTTGAAAGTATTGAAAGTGTATATAAGTGACTGCACGTCCGAAAGGCTGATTTTATTTTATTTTATAACAGCCGACCCAATTTTATGGGTTTACGACCCCGTAGCCTTGTAATTTTGAACCCAATCCAGAAGACAAGGGAACTCCTGAATCGAGCATTGGGAGAAATTTGCCTTCGTGGAAGACTTTTTGATGGAGCAAATACGTATTTGCGTTACATGAAGAGGAAGACCACGAGAACCTCCCACGGTTAGCCTGACGGCAAGGGGACTCTAGCCCATGATCCGTCTACCCCATACGCAGAATATTTTCAAATGTTCTGAAACAGGACTTATTAATTTATACAAATGTTCTGCAAGCATTTCACAGCGAAAAAAAGTCAACTTTAAGTTAAAATACTATATTTTCATTTATTAAAATACAGGATCATTCACAGATACACTATATTATTTTTTAAACCAAGGCAAACATTCTTGATTTATTACTTTTTCAATCACTTTTGCAGTACAAAATTTTGTTAATGACGATGATAATGATGAATTATTAATAAAATGCCTATGATTTGAAGATCCGAACATTAAAATAAAGGCTGCCTTGAAAATCTGTAGAAGAATGTATGAGATTAGGGTTCGGAATTATTCTGCAAGCCTACCGGAGGCAGGTGGGCGGGGAAGGGGGGTTTCGCAGGAAAACGCTGTTACTTATTCAAGATACTAATTGATCTGCAGGACTTCGTTTGTTCTGCGACGTACGGCACAGTTTTAGGCACTTTCTGCTTCTGGGCTATCTCCTAACTATTATTAATAATAGTTAGTACTCCGAACTATTACTTAGTTAGGAACAATAGTAATTTTAATTATGCTCCTAACTATATTATTCCTAATAGTATTCCTACTGCTATTACTAACTATTATTAACTATTACTCCTATCTATTTTTAACTATTATTAACTATTTTAACTATTATTAATAATAGTTAATAATAGTTAATAATAGTTTATTTTTAGTCAAAAATACTTTACTCCTAACTATTACTTAGTCAGGAGTAAGAATAAATACTATTACTCCTAATAGTATTACTACTAATAGTACTAATAGTATTACTACTATTAATACTATTACTACTAATAGTACTCCTATTACTAACTATTTTTAATAACACTATTTTAAACTATTATTAACCCTTAACTATTATTAACTATTTAACTAATTTTAACTATTATTAATAATAGTTAATATTATTAACTAATCAATAATAGTTAGGAGTAATAGTTTATTTATAGTTTAAAAAACTAGTTAAAAATACTATGGTTAAAAATACTCCTAATAGTATTACTACTAGTAGTACTCCTTTTAACTATTAGTAGCAATACTATTAGGAGTTATTAAGTATTATTCAATTAACTAACTATTTTTAATAATAACTATTACTCCTAACTTATTAACTATTTCAACTATTAATAACTATCTTTAACTATTATAAACTATGATTAGCTTACTAATTTTTCTGAGTAATAGCACAATAAATTATCTCTTAATAAATTATCAAGAGCACAAATTATCTTTCTTTTAATAACATTCTGCCATTCTTTTATTTCACCTGGAATTTAACAACGCTTAATTTTTTTATGCGCTATGCAGCCTCCAGCAGTGTGTATATATATTTAACTTGTTTTTCTTAATTTTCTTCGGTTTTTTTTCGCTTTTTGTATCTATTTATTATGCTATATATATATATACGTCGAGCGAGTGACGTAGAAAATAAGAGAATAAAAAATTTTAACGCAACGAGCTATAAATTTTTCAATTAAAGGATTATTTTCAGAGTTAATATACAATCATTCTTTGAAGTAAATAATAATTAAGAAAATCTCACAAGTTCCCTATGAAACGCATTTCTACGTCACCTGGCTATAAAATACAGGGATTGATAGCAAGATTTTTATTTACGTTATTTGAACGTCATTCAAAGATAAAAATATCTTAATTTGTTTAAAAACATGAAGCCAAATAAACTATTAAATAAAATCAGCATACTTAGATTAAAACTCCTAAAACTAATAAAAAATGTAAAAAAAATTCGAAAAAAAATTTTATTATAATTCTGGGGAGTGAGTTATAGACAATGTCAACCTTCATCTATGAGAAGGTACCCCAACGTAGAATCTAGTTAACATGTCTTATATACTAGTGAATTGGAATTATATTTTTGCAGTGGTAGACGCATTATAATAATCAAGAAAAGAACAAAAACATGCGTAATTTTTTTTTATTTGTGTTGATCATTTTATGTTAAAAAATTTTTACAGGTTGAAAAGATTACGGAAGAAGATTACGGAAAAGAATATTGTTTTAATTCACAATATATTCAGGAAGTCTTAACAACAGGATTTGGTTTCACTCCAACAACATGGAAAAATATTGAATTTGTAGGAAAGGTTAGTAAATCTTTGTAAATGAAATTTTTATTAAAACAAAATTGAATCATGAAAAACAAGAATCTTTATAGTATTAAAGCTCATAAGAAAATCCAGAGACAAAGAAAATGCTGAATCAATTTTCATTTTTCTTTTTCAGACAAAATGTAATAATTTAAATAACTTTTGTAAGAAATGCCTACTAATATTCTCATATATACTTTAGAAAAGAAAAGAAAATGCCACTCCTTGGATAATATTCATTTTAAATTCAATTTATGAAGTTTTTAAGTAGATTGCATCATCAGGGCTAGGATGATAATGTAAAATTTTTAAATTCCTTAAAAAATGCAAAACCTTTAAAAACCATAAAAAATGACCTAAACTTTAAAAATGTTCTTAAAAATTTTCGAAACTTATTTTATATTAGTTTTTTTAAAGTCATAAATTGAAGCTTGTATTTATAAATTCAGTTAATAAGATCACTTAGTTAATAAGAAAACTAAGTTAATAAGAAATAAGATAACTTATGAAATGTTTAATTTATAAATAAATAAAACGTAAATAGGAAATCAACTTTTATCTATCCTCTTCATAAAATATCAGAATATGTGTTCCTTTTAATATTCATCAAATTGAAAGATTGCCTCGTCTTCAAAAGTAAACTTTTTATGTATTAAAAAATTCTGTTTAACATCAAAACTTGCTTTAGGAAAATTTCTGAAATAACAAGATTCAATGAAAAAAATAATACTATGTACAGTGCGCAAAATAAAAAACGGACCACCCTTAACTGCTTCACTTACCAATTTTTTTGAGAAACAAAAATTTCAAAAAATTAACATATATTTTTATGTCATTAATAAATACAAGGAACTAAAACAAAACATAATACGCAAGTTCCAAGTTGAAATTTTAATTTTTTTACGTGTAAAAAATATTTAATTTACCATCAGTTTACTATCCCAAATTATCTCGGACAAATGAAAAAAAGTTAAATATTAGTCTTTGTATATGTTCACATCTTCATAATCTGAAAAATCATCTGCATCACTTTCACTTTCGCTCGCGAAAACCATTTTTTCGCCTTTTTTTTTTCCTATGTAAATTCATCTTCTTCTTCTTCGTCTTGGCCACTACAGCCTGCGACAGGCCAAGGCCGTCCCAATAAGTCTTTGCCATCTTGATCTATTTGTGATATGGCCTTCCAGTTAGTTATTCCTATTATCTTTAGGTCCTTCTCAACTGCGTTCAGCCACCTAGTCGGTGGACGGCCCCTTTTTCTTGTACCTTCTGATTTTAAAAAAATAAAAATAAAAAAAAATAAAAAAAAAAAAACTTTTTTTTTGCGGGGTTTTGGTCTTCAGACCTGTTAAGGTCTCCCAGCGATTGAATGCGATTGGCCTTAATAACATGAACTATGTCTGGTTGTTTATACTCTTTAAATAACTCATGATTGTAAACGGTGCGCCATCTGTTATTCTCATAGATTGCACCAAAAATTCTTCTAAGTATCCCTCTCTCAAAAATCATCAATTTATTCTCCTCTTTTTTATTAAGAGTCCAGCACTCACTACCATATAGGATCACAAGCCGTAGGAGTGCTTTGTATGTGTTAATTTTTGTCTTTTGTTTAAGAAATTTACTTTTTAGTTGGCTTTTTAAACCAAAGTAGCACTTGGTAAACCAGTTTCAGTATTTATGTCATTTCTGCTGGTTACAGTTGTCACAAGATATTTAAATTAATTAACAGCTTCAAATTCATAATCATTCACATGCAAAAAGCATTTGCCTTAGTGAGCCCTCTTGTTCTCTCCATATATTTAGTTTTGTCAGCATTAATGGTTAGATGTAAATTTATCAAGCATCGTCTATACAATTGTACAAAACACGTCTGCAGTCCCACAAATAGCAAAACTCCCAAACATTGGCAAAATTCTAATCACAGCAGATTATTATTTTTTGTTTTGCTTCCGGAGGAATAAAAACGTGATAAAACAAAACTTATTGACGAATTCTGCTATGCCCGAGTTAACGCGGGATAATCAGGGAAGCGATTAATGATTTTTGATCTAATCATCGAATCTATACGCTCTAGGACTCAATGGTTCGAGAGGGTAACTTCAAATATGCAAACTTATTAGAGCAGAAGTTACGAAATCAGACACAAAAACGTACTTTCTCTGAATAAATATACCTTTGTTTGGATAGATTCGGATTTCTGACCCCAAAAATAGGAGGTGGCTGCAATCTGGGAAAAAGGGTCACAATTGTTTGGTCAGGAGAGTTAATGTTAATTTTTATTTTTTGCGTATTTCTCCTTGTCTCGAGAAATTTTTAAGCAAATTAAAAAAATTTGCACACAATTATAAAATTCGTTCATGCAAAAATAATTCCATGCAAAATAATAATTATGTATAAACTGAATAAATAGTTCACTTTTGTGCAAAATTAGAAATTTTATAATTTTTGAATGGTTTTAAAAACGATACAAATGTTAAAAAAACTTATTACAATTAGATTCAGTAGTTCACAAAAACATCTGAAGATATTTTGTTTAAAAAAAAATTTCTGTTGATTTGTCGATATTGAAGTACATAAAAAACTCATTTAAATTTTAATCTAACATATATTTTACAATAGTACAGCGTCTTATAAAATCATGCATATCTTTTTAGGTATTTGAAATTTTTGAAAACATTCATAAGAAATGATTCAGACACGTCAAAAAAATATAGGAATAAAAAAGCAATATCTTTAACAATCCATTTCACTCTTTTAAACTTTCCGATTTTATTTAAACTTTACTCCTGCGATAATAAGGTTAACCAGCTTCTATACTACTGCTAGTATTTTAAACATATACAACTGCAATTAAATAAAAACTAAGAATTTTATCAAAACACTAATAATCAAGTTTTAAGAAACTTTACCTTGTTCATAGAATAGTTTTCTAATAATCTTTCACAACCTCTCTTCTATCAAATCTATAGATTTTTTGAACTAAATTAACTCAAAGTAAGCTTCAAAAATAAAAAAAATACTGAAGAATTTATTCTTATAAAAGCATTATAGCGAGTAACGAAATACAACGTAAATAAACGAAGCAAGAAAGAAACAAAAATGTTGCCACGTTTTCGATTAAGATTCAAGACTATTTTTTTCATTTTAATAATAATAATGTACTAATAACAAATAATTCTATGTTTATATTCACTTAAAAGATAGTTTTAAAAGTATACATTTGGATTTTAAAATGAATAAAACGCAATAATTAGGATTAATATGTTTTCAGGAAAACAAATAGAATGTCTGCGGAAAAGTTCATTTATTAAGTATATAATGCAATTGTTATTCCAGAAATTGATAAAATAACTTTCCTGTGAAATGTCCTCTTTAACAAACTATTCTTTAAAACAAAATGCATTACAGTAAAACACCATATTTTTCGTTTAATTCGATAGAGATTTTTTTTTCCATTAAAATAACAGGGAGAGAAGGAAAGTAGAAAATTTCCACCTCGAATGACTCACCAGTCACATGATTTTATCATTGGGACAAAAAGCAGTGCTTGATCTACCTACATTACAGCTCTATCATTATCCATAAAATGTTCTGATGAGTTTCAATCAAATAAATCAATTCATTAAATGTATGCTTTTTATTCCAGATTGATGGAAAAGACGTTGGTTGGTCCTTAGGGTACATGATTAATGCAACAAATATCATTCCAGTCAAAGATAAAACGCCAAAACTCATATCTGCAACTGCATTAGCAGTTTGTCTTGTTTTATTCATAATGATTGTAGTTGGTGCAATTATATTCATTCTAAGGAATCGGGATCGGGCAGATTACAACAGTGCCTGAACTCTCATTTGTTTCATCAAACTGTCACTTTATAAATGGAATGTATTCAAAAGAAGCATTAAAGAAGCCTAAAACCAATATAAGAAGAAAAAAAATTTCTTCAATATTTCTTTCAGAAACTGAACAGTGAAAAGATAGCAAATTAGGACGTTTAAAATATTTTGAAAACCTTCTTTCTTCAAATTCACCATTATTATGCCATGAGAGATTTTAAAGATTTACTTGTGAAGTTTACAAAATAAAACAGAAATATTTATTCTTGCCATTTTCTTTCTTTTATAAAACATAATATCGTAGAAGCATTGCACTGACTTCAATGCAATGCTATATTAAATGTCTAAGATTATGACCACTTTGGAAACTTCCTTTAATTTTTTTTTTAAATTTTATGTTATAGAACAGCAATATAATCATCAAATTTTTCATAATAAGAACAAACTTAAGGATCCTTGAAAAAGTGGTAAGTGAAAATGCACATAAGTCTTTACCACAACATATTCATAATTCGTTTCAAATTCAACTTACAAGATGTTTTAAACCACACTTAAGAAAGTAACTAGTCTATCCTAAACAATTTTATCAAAGTTCCATGAAACTTCAATTTATAATAAATAGTATCTAATTTTATGCAATATATTAAATTAAACAAACATTGAGAATTAATTTGTGAAATAGGCACATTTTTGATAACTTTTTCCTAACATTTAGTTTCAGCCAACGATATTTTAAAATTTCCTATGAATTTACAATAAATTACTTCCTAAGATTTCAAAACATAGGAAAACATATTTTATAAATTCATTCATTCATTCTACTGATTCAACCTCAGTTAAAATTTCAAAAAGACTTATCTGCAAATTAATGCAAAATCGCCTATATAATTTCTATGATATTTTTAAAAATATACCAAATGGCGAACATAAATTTTCTTTACGTTTCAGACAAACATATATTTTTTGACAGTTAGATGACTTTGAAGGTCTGAAAAAATCAGTAACCAATTTGTAAATATGGAATACCACTTCATTAAGAAAACTAGTTACTATAATTTTCTTAGACATATTCCACTCATAAATAAACTTTTTCAACAAAATAATGCATACAATTCATAATTGTAAATAATGCGAAATCAACATGTGATGTCATTTGTTTTAAAATGCAAATTAAAATTATTTATGTCAAGTTTTTTTTTTTTTATTGACTTCGATTAACTTAACAAGAGAAAAAAAACAGGACTGCTGGTAGTCCGTTAAACGATTTTGTAGTATGAAGAGGAAGTTTGACTGAATGAGTATTGATGAAAAAATAATATAAAACAGCTAAAAAACAAGAAAAATGTTTATTAATGACTGTCTAATTTTACAATGCTTAGAATATATCTTTCAGAGGAATAACATGGAAAACATTGCAAAATAATCCATTCCTAACATTTAATGTTACAATTTGTCACCATAGTAAAACCTTAGAAAAATATATTTATTTACACCTATATACAAAAGGCAGTTTCTCCAATCGGCATGTATAAAAATAGGAATCCATTTTCAAAGTAACAATAATTTGCTCCAAATTTTGCAAGTTCAAAATTAACTAGAAAATCAAATAATCATGAAATTACAAAAAAAATTATTCATTTAACATCATAAAAAAAAAACTTAATTCAATTAAAATATTGCAAATAAACTTTAATGATAGACATCATAGATAATCTATCATCTACGCTTATAAGTTTAAGAACAAAACTTTAATGATATATACTACATTTTTAACAAAATTTCATAAATGTCTCAAGATTTACGATGAAAAGTCTTAGCAAAATAAATGGTAAACCCATTCCAAAATTTATAGCCAAAATGGAAGAACATTAAAAGCCTTGGTTGAAAAAAAATTAAAATTGCACAACAACCCGAAATATCCCAACACTTAAAACCAGGCACTTGTTTAGTCATTGAACAATTAATAAGTTTGATATATATATATATATATATATATATGCATTCGCTAAACTTCTCACTGTATACTGTGTAATAAGTTAATAGAGTCTGATACATTTTTAAATATAATATATATAAATATTAGTAAAATTTCTTATTCTAAACGTAACTAGTTTTTAAAAATTGAAGCCAGTAAAAATGTTATTTTAATAAAAATATTACTCACTAAAATATTTATGTATAATTATTTTTAAATAAATAAAGAAGTTACAAAAAACAACTATTTATTAAGGTGGGCTGAAAAAGTTGAAACATCTTAATTCTATAAGCTATAATGTCAATAGGTAGTTTAAAAAGTATGTATGATTCTGAATTAGTATATTTTGTCCTTCAATGGGCTAAAAGTTGTGACAATTTATATAAAAATAATAAAAAATCACAGCTTTTGTAGTCAGACTTACGGTAGTGCTTGAAGGTTACAATTTAACAAGAATAACTGTTCAAAATTTCAGAAATATAACTTAATATCGTCTCAAAGACACAGAAGTTTTGTTAGGTCCCTAAAAGCAGCAAAACTAAATCTCCTGAAATTATATCTTGCCTCATTGAACCAATCCAAACTTTCTGCCATTGAGAAGACTGGGGATATTTAGTTTTAATTCTAAAGTTTTGAAGATATTTGTCAAAAAATGGTAACTTTTAAGTGATTTGCGACCTATTGAAATGACAGCTGATATCAATTCAGAATCATAAGATTTTACATAATGTAGCTGATAACATTTCTGCAAAACCGCTAAGAGATTTAAGACACTTTAACTTTTTTGATCCATCCCATTATTTATGCAAAAGCTTATTACTTTAAAAAAATAATAAAGAAGGATTTTCCAACTTTATTTTAAATGGTCTTTAATATTTAAATATTTGTTATTTAAAACCCAATAAATCAAATACTACAATTTAGTATTACAATAAATACACACTTAGGATTTATTTATAAAATAGCAATTTTTAATATGAGAAAAAGGATTGCCTTATCCATAATAAAAATGCTTACAAGAATAAGCTTATTTACAATTAATATAAGATATATATTTTTTATTTACATTAAAGTTTACTAACAAACAAACTATAAAGTTACTAAGCATTTGAGAAAGCAAATTAGCCCTCTAAGGGTTAGTTCCAGCCTTTTCCAAACTTCCATATGCAGACTCGCTATCCTGCATCAAAAAACCAGTTTCTCCATGCTAGTTAACAGGAAAATAGTGCACTGCAGCAGAATTTCAGTATAATTTTACCCACAGGGTTCAACCCTTAGAGGGTTAAAAGCAAAAGGAAAATTCGAGCAAATCTGAATATTATAAAAAAGTTTAAATAGAACAAATTCACGCTGCTTATCAGTACATTTATCATATCAAATATTGACCGAAAATCTACCTTTACTAACAAACACAAAACATGATATTTAATTTAAATTCATTATTCTTAATCTGTGCTATAAAACCAAAATAAATAATTTTCCTTTATCAATAAAATTAATAATAATACAAAAAATCGCCATCACTTCATTAACATACATATACGAGAATATGGAAACTACAATGGTAATTGAATTTAAAAAAAAACTAGCTTTAAAATTCACAAGACACAAAATGGTTAGTAAAATTAATTTTAATCAAACCAAAATAATGATTTTAATTTCAAAGCTATTTTAAAAGGAAATGATTAACTAATTGCAAATATTACACTAGAAGAAAGTTAAGTGAGAGGAAATTGAACATTGAAATTATGAAATCCAAGAAATGATAAACAATTATTTTTCCTTTTTATTTCAAAAGAATATGAAAAACTTAAGCTACAGTATATAAATGATATATTTAATTCAGAAATTCTGTAATAAGTAAAAAATTCTATTGTTTTTTTTTCTAGTCTACAATTCAATCTAGGCTCAAAAAAGCTTCATTCTTTTATTAGTATAAAGAAAAGTCATACTAAAAATTATTTTAAATAAAAAAATAATCGGACATTAATTAAATATGTACGCTTACTTATCACTATGACTGAAAGTAATGTTTTGTGTAAAGATAAAAATTTTACCAGCATCACTATTTACATTATTAAACAAGATAAAAAGACACAACTCATTTTTTTTAAATTGTTAAAATACAGCACTAAAAATAAAATTAAAAATAGCAACGTATTTTCATTTGAAAAAATTAAAATCTTCTATGAATTTTATAAATGCATTTTAATTTAGTTCATATTCTCTCAAAAGAAAGAGCATATTTAAGGATCATTCTAAAATTTACACTTCAGAAAAAAATTAAAAATTAAGTATTAAATTATTACTCACGTTTTATTATCTAAACTTGGTTGTTTTTTAAACTTTGTATTACTGACTTAGTGACTAAGTCTTTCAAGTTTTTAGAATATATAACACCAATTTTATTTTAGGATTTAATACTTTATTAAAAGTATTACTTAGCAATTTTTTTAAGAAGGAAAACTAAACATCAATCTCCATTAATCTAATATGACAAACACATTTTGACAACACAAAAAAATCTGATTATTAAATGCCTAAATATAACACAAAGAATATAGAAAATTTGAAAACCTTTTTTTATTCAAAAGTAAACACATTGTTTTATCAGTTCACAATCATCAGTTCACATTAAGAAGTTTTAAAAGCTATTAAATGCTATTTCTCTTAACTTAATATGGCAAAGTTTACATTTACAAACTTTTTGGGGAAAGAATAATGCTGACGAATGATAGTCTATGATCAAAAGTTTGTTAAGCAAATAATAAATAAATAAATAAAAATTGAACTTTAATTCCAAGATGGTGAGGAAAATGACCTCTTAGTAATGGAGGATATTTACGGGAGGAATAAGATACAATTAAAAATTCAATTAATAACATTAAATATTTACAATAAACATTCAGAATGTGTAACGTTTTCTCAGAAGCTCATCTAAAACCTATTTACCAGTCAATTTTTAAAGATTGAAATTAATTAGTGAAAGCAAATATTCTCAAAAAAATGTTTTTTTTTTTAGAACCCATACATAGTTAGAAAAACCAAATTCAAATTTAAGCATTTGCATTTTTGCTGCTCATTAGTATACAAACTAATTTACCAGTTAGAAAAATAGAAAACTATGAAGTGACATTTTATAAAAATCTAAAGCTCAGCTATAAAAAAAAACTTTAAAAAAAAAAAAGATACATTGTAGTTTAACTGCTACCTAATTCCCCAAAGATCACAAACTTTATTAATACTTTTAAAGATTACATATGATATAGATTGAAAAATTAAAATAAAATATTCTATAGTAATAACAACTATCTATACTAAACTAATAATTTAATATATAACATATAGAAACAACAATAGTTTTTATGAACTAATACCAAATGTATCAATTCTAATAAAAAATATTCAAATGTAACTCATAAAATTACACAACACTATATTTTGAAATAAACACTGCAACATTACAATTTGAAAAAAGAACTACCATATTGTAGTAATTTTTAGAAAATTTAAAATAGAAAGCTTTCTACATACTTGAACTTAAAGAAATGCTTTTTAAAAAAATTAAGAGAGATAATGATAGCACAAGTGCCATTATTGATTATGAGATTTTGATCACACTCTATAGATTGTTTAGTTTCTAATTATTTCTTGCTTTGCAATATGGGGAGAGTGCTGAAGATTCCATCCATGGTTTAGTACTATCAATTTTAATTTTCATGATTCAATAATAATTTTCAGGATTTAACTTTTCAATATTAAAATTTTTTACTGAGTACTAAGATATATTTTTATCACAGTTAAATAACTATTTTAAATACATGAACAACATATCAGTTAAATACTCAGTATATGGCCAATGTCACTAATTGAAGCATCCTTTAACAAGAATCATTTAAATGTAACAAAAACATTAAAAATAAAAACAGTCAGAAACAGTAAAATATTTCATAAGCAAAGATTTCTCTCAAACATGTGGGACATACATTTTTTCTGTTTACCATAACCAGAAACTTCATTCAATCGAATGAAAACATATTGTATAAATAAATTATACTAAATTACATTTTCAGGATAAAATTTCATGTGGTTGAGGTATAATGTGAGGACTTGAGGAATTTGAAGAATGAGTTGTTGAAAAAGACTCAGCAGATGGCAATTTAGAGTGCTGAATTTGATGCCAAGTTTCTCCAAGAGCTTTAGCGAAATGCTCATCCACTAAAACATAAAAAATTTTTAACATTCACATAATTACAGACAACCTATTAAATGGAAAACTTAGTTCAATAAAACTTAAGGTTAACCGGATAATAATAGTCTTAAAAAGATGGTAGATATGTACCTAACTTTCGGCATGATGTTGTGTTTATGAGGCTACGTGTAAACAGGCTCCATAATATTAAGCAATATTGCCACTCATAAAAAATTTTCTGAATTTTAAATATATGAGTAAGTTACAAAGTATTGTAACTAAAAATATAAAAAATAATCAATTAAAATAATTCAACAAGTTGCACTTTTTTTAATGTTTCGGCTATTAACTTTTTTAAAGATGTAAGCATTAAATTATTTTCTCATGAGATTATTTTAGTTTTTTACAAGATATTATTCTTAATATTGAAGAAGTCAGAAAAACAATAGACTCCAAAGCAATCAGTTAAAAAAAATATAAAGAGAATAAATAAAATTGTAACGTCAAAAAAGTACTAAATTTAATTAGAAACAAATAAAGAGAATGTGATAAACATAATATGACGATGAATGATCACATTTTTAAATCCTTTGATAATAATTCTTAAGATCAATAAATATACTAATGTCAAAAAAAATATTTATAATATTAATATATATTAGGGGTGCACAACCTCGGCCCGCCGACTACTGAAGTGCGGCCCCTGAGACCTTCTAAATACAATTTTAAAAAATTTAAAAATTTAAATTTTTATTGTCACTTTTAAGTCACACGTTTCGACGCGTTCAATTTTCAACAGATTCTTTAGTAAATGTACGTTTAACGCGCTTCCTTTCAGCCGATTTCATCTTAAATATAAATGATTTCTTTCAACAGTTATTTCAGCTTTTCAACGCGATTTTGAAAATCCTGAATTTTTATTACGATATTATTCCGACGCGAGTTTCAGATCGCCCATTTAAATAATCACTTCTTTTTGGTGCACTTTATTTGTGACGATTTCATCTTAAATCTAAGTGATTTTATACACACACACACAAATAAACTTTTTCAACAAAATAANAAGTTCAAAATATATATATATTTGCAATTCTTTCTTTCTTTTTTTCAACAATTATTGCTATACTTTTTCACTCGATTTTGGCGATCCCGTTATTTAACTACGAAGTAATTACAAAAAGCTAATTTTTAATCTCGCATTTAAATAATCACTTTTTGATACGATATTTTAGTACAGCTTTATCGTAAATCCTAGTTCATTTTCCGTTTTTTTCAGCAAACGAATATGATTTGGTCGAATGTGGTAATGAATTGTGATTTGGTCAAAAACCGAACATTCGCAAAAAAAAAAAAAAATTGACTAATTCCTATATTTGGGGCCAAATAGCAAACTTTTTTAGCAGCATAGCAACACTGAAACCAAAATTTCAGTTCTCAGAATAATATTTTCTGGAAAAACGTATTAATAAATTAACGTTAAAAAATAAGGCCAATCAAGAACGTTTTTGAAAATGTCAAAAAGAGAAAATAAAAATCGATCTTAATTTTCGAAAGAAAATTTTAAAGCTGAAGATCTCAGTTTTTCAATTACCAGAAAAGTCAAGAAAAAAGAATTAAGTCAACAGAAATGCTGGCATTATAATAAAAACGTCTATAAAAAAAAAATTTTTTTTTATTCAAAGAAAAAAAAAAGTTAAATAGAAACCAAAAACTTTCTTAATTTTTTAAATGAAAATCTTATGCTGAAAATCTCAATTTAAATTTTTCACATTGCCATCCATTTTTTTAGAAGAAAAAAAATTGCCATAAAATAAAGTTTATTAGCAACGTTATTCAAAAAAATGCTGCGTTATAATAAAAATGCCTGTAAAAAGAAAAGTTAATTGAAAAGAAAAACAGAAAAAACAAATTGTTCTTAGTTCCTAAAACAAAGCTTTAATACTAAAAATCACACTTTTCTATGTTACTGGTCATTTATATTACAGTACACAGAAAGAGTGATAATAAATTAATAGTTTGAGATGTTCTGTTAAAATGCTACATTATAATAAAAACAGCAAAAATGGAAAAAGAAAATCCTTCTCAATTCTTAGAATTAAAAGCATCGAAAAAATTATGAAATTGGCTTGTCTTATTATAATTTTTTTTTAAAAAAAGAAGGGCAAAAACTTGTGGTTCAGTATAAAGTAATCTTGTTTCAAATCTTCTAATTTCGTTTTTCCTTTTGTCTTCAAGAAGATAATTTTGCAAGCCATGTGCAGAAACATGGATTTAAACTTAAGAAATTTGTGCAAAAACTATTTCTTATAATAAACAATTCCATAATACAGTTAAAATACGATTTTTTATTAATATTTATCATATCGATACAAATTCAAAAAAAAAAACTTACAAAAAATACATTTTTAAAAAATATTCTGCCGAACATTTGGCTGATCATTCAACCACCAAGGCTCGAAAAAACTCATACATTTTACCCATCCCCGAGGACGGCTTGTCCAACAATGTACCCGTCCTCCTTTGAAACTAATCCGTAGCTACTAAATAATTTTCTCTTATTTATTACTAACATTTATATAAATTGCACAATGAATTAGTAGTAACTAGGATTATGAATACTAGGATTACATTATACAGTAATAAAAGAAATACTAGGTTACTAACTAGGTTACTAACAGTAAAGTTCTTTTATGAAATAATTTATTTTTTTATGAAATAATTTATTTCTCTTATGAAATAACTTATTTCTTTTATGAAATAATTTAACAAAGTCTGAAATTAAATAACAAAGGTCAAGTTATCTGGAATCTCAATTTATCCGAGGGTACTGCGTTTTTTAAATGAATCAAATATGGCGTTTGCCAGTCCCACAATCAAGCCAATGATTTACAGAGGTTTCTGCACAGGAATCTGAAAGGGGTTATCCATTTAGGTAGATGTTCATAATTGCGTTTAACGCTTCTTGTTTAAGACCAGTACGTAATGTGTTTTTTTGTAAGTTTATTGCTGAAGAGCCTCTTTCAACAGCTGCAGTACTGTCAGAAAGAGAAAACATCAATTCCACCATGCGTAGTATGCTGGTGTATTTCCAGATTAGAAGGTCATTTTAGAAGTGAGGTGCTAGACTCTTGTAAGATAACAAAAATTGAAAATGTATCACAAATATTAACGGGAAAATGACCGTCTGTGCGGACGTTGGATTCGACAAATTTTTTGTCAGCGGGGAATTTTTGACAGTCGAGGACGGGCGGTTTTACGAGCCCTGCAACCAACTGAATTTTTCACAGAAGGGCCAAATACTCGTTACATCCCTAATTTAAATGCAACGTTATTGCAACTTGAGAAATTCATAAAGGGGCGGAAAACATGAATTTTCAGACTACTCATTGTTTGCCGTTTTGATTTCAATTTTTTGTTGCTTAAGTGATCTTTTTCGATTAAAAAAAAAGAAAATGCTTACGATATAAAAATGTAAAAATTAATAAAATGAAATAATAAAGTACATTACNCGGAAAACATGAATTTTCAGACTACTCACTGTTTGCCGTTTTGATTTCAATTTTTTGTTGCTTAAGTGATCTTTTTCGATTAAAAAAAAAAAGAAAATGCTTACGATATAAAAATGTAATAATTAATAAAATGAAATAATAAAGTACATTACCAAATAAGTATTGAATTTTATTTTGAACTATCACAGTTTTGTTTTCATTTTAGGCTTTTGTTTAAAACCTATAAATTTTCTTCAATTGCAATATTTAATTTGAATTTAATTATGTACTAAATTTTTCCCCAATTTCATTCTATGGGCATTGTAGTTTTTTTAAATTAAAAATTAATTCGGAAATTAATTTTTGCATTGCGTGATATGATTAAAAAAAAAAAAAAAACATTTCTTTTCTTCAATGTTTATTTATTTATTTTGATAAATCTATTGTTCATATGATAAAAATAGCAATTTAAAGTATTAGCTTTTTATTTACTTTTGAATGAATTCTAATTGAACACCTTTAATTTTTTACAAATATATTACTAAGTTTATCGATAAAAAAATAGAACACTAATGTTTAAATAAACATATTTGTCGTTAACATGTCTAGATACATGTGCGGCCCTTCGTTAGTCAACCTGCTGTGCAAGTGGCCCTTCTCTCAAAAAGGTTGTGCACCCCTAATATATATAATAATATTGTATAATATAATAATATTAAATTTAATAATAAAAAATAATCATTTAAGAAAGTTATAACTAATGTGAAAAACAACTGATTTCAGACAGATGACAAATCATACATGAAGACAAATATTCTTTTATAACCACTAAATATTATTTCATGACCACTAACTTTATATTTATGACAAATGCGTATTTATTCATAATGTCAATAATAATCTTACTCATTTAATATGCTTCATAGAAAATTTTAAGATCATAAAAATTTCATTAGGGGATATTTTGAAGCTCTTTCGCAAAGGCAAATTACAATGCCACACTTGAAGGAAGCAAAGCACTACTTTTAAGCTGTAAATATTATCTTGCTGGACATTAAAAACACACAAATAGCTTAAATATTTAAAATAAAAATAATTAAACATTTAAAATAAATTAGCAGGTAGGACAAGATTTGTCTACTTTAATGAAATCATTAAAACCAAAAATTAGTTTTCCATTTTAAGAATTTTTTTAGCTCAAAGAGTAGCATTAGAGCTTTTCAAATGCAGAGCAACTACCAATAACAAACCTCATAGTGAAGTAAAGAAAAATTCAGGGCATCATTTTTTAGAAAAAAAAAATCTGGACATTTTTTGGTTTGGAATATACACACAAGATCACTTTCAAAAGGCGAACTACAAACACAGGAGCGAACTACAAACTGAAAAAATAAAAGAAAATATCCTTGTCGTTGGAAAAACTTCCAAGTGGTAGAAAAATTTACGGTTAAAGGAATGTCTGTTTCTGTTAATTTGTTTTAAAGTTGTTTTGGCCATTAATAAATATGAAAAATTCAAAAGTTCAAATAAAACAACACTTAGTTCCAGTTATTAGATGGGCCCTTTAAAATAAAGATGAAATTAGCCAAATTTCGGTAAATTTTAATTTCTAATTTTCCAGTTTAGAAAATCTTTTGAGGAAAGCAGAGCAGTTGGCATCCTTGATAGAGCACTATACAACTCATAGTTTAAGATCAATAAAAAGAAAATTTATGTGTACTGTTGCATTAAAAAAATTACCAGTATCAGTTAATATTCTTTCTTAACAATAGTTTATAAAAACTTGTAATCGAGTTCAAGACTTCAATAATTCATAATCAAAGAATTTTAATGATCAAATAATTTTAAAGAAGAATTTAAATAATCTCTAAAACAAAAACAAAATTTATTATACAGCAAACATTTTTGTTAAAAAGTAATCAATGGATGATCTCTAAATTCCCGATTAAAAATTATATGATATTACTGTATTACTGATTTTAATTTATCATTTCAACAATCAGATGCAAGAAACAAATCAATTGTCAATGAATTGAATCAACAATTAAATCCAATGTATTGAATCCAACAATCTACTAAACAAGATTTGATGCTATTTGTGCAGGGAAAGAAATTAACATATGACCCCCTGAATACCCATTTGCTAATGTAAAACTGTTGATTGAGTTTCTTTTTCCTAAAATGACTGATCTCATAAAAAGTTTGAAGTAATAAATCCTGCGGGTAAAGCTATAAATATGAGCCATGTGTATAATTAGTGGACAAATCCTAAGTTTGACTTTTAAAATTTGTGATTCTTACCAGCATAATTTAAAATAAAAAGATATTTGATTGAAAATCTAAAATCATTCAAATATATTATTTGAAAATCTGCATTTGCATTAATAGGAAATGGGATATTTTGAACAAACACAAAAACCCGGTATATCAGTACAAAAAGCTAAAAATCAGGAGAAATAAAGATTTTCAATATATAACCCTGATAAAAATATTTTTTTATCAATTAAATCCTGACTATTTGAATAAATATAGAACAGGCATTGCATTGTTTTATATATTTTGATATGAATAAGAGTAATTTTGCCGAGAATATCAATATTTTAATTTCAAAATTATTTAATCTAAAATAATAGGTCACTTTTTTAATGAAGGACATTTATAGGGATTTTTTATGTCATCAAAATCCAGGCTCTATTTATAACACAAAATTCTATATAACACAGTCTGAAGCTGCAAGTTTCGCATCATTAAGATTTACATATATGACAGTTTGGGAGAAAAGACAAGGATAGTATTCAAAATGAGAGTATTGAGGGAGTAAAAATATTCGAAATACCAGTAATTTATTAAAAACTTGTACAATTATATCAAAAAATAACTCACCAGTAATGGAAACATTATTGCCTGTTGATTTGGAAAATATTTGCTGGTAGTCTTTGCCTAAAGATCGTCGAAAGTGTTCATCGATGACAGGATCACAAGAACCTTAAAAAAAGACAATTATTGACAAACAAATCAAAGAATTAATTTTCCCAAAATTTTAAACTTGTCAATTCATTAGGTAAATATTATTAACCTATACACTAAGGTGGAATGAAAAGGGAAAAGTATTTAAAAACTTTTAAGACATTTGTGTCAAAAAGTTATCTACAACCAAAGTCTTATAATTCTAAATTTAAATCTTTTCCCCAGTCAAATTAGGCTTTTGACTTGAACGAAGTTAAAAAGCATTGAATGATATCTTCAAACATTAAATGTTGCTGTCTTATGCCATTTGTTTACTAACAAGTCTTATAAGGCAGAGGGGTGTACTTCTTATTTTCTAATGGCGCCATCTATGGCCAAGAATTCGACTTCCGCCGCACACACAACACAGCCTGTTTTACAGGGAGGACACATTCACACACCACCCATCCACAGATCGTGATTTGGACCTAAACCAGAGCATAATCAATCTCCGATCCAGGACCCCTAAAGTTATTGATTTGTTATGAGAACTTGGAGAAATTGGTCACCCCAAGTTTTATGTGTTTTAAAGAAGTGGGTCACAATAGATTTTGTCGTTGAGCCCATAAATTCTGTGTCCAGCTTTAACAATGTGCCATTTCACAATAGGATACGAGATATGAATGAACTAGATATAATAAAACCAACTTAAAGACAAAATAGAGTGGCCTGAGCATCAGGGTTCAGTTTTTTGACATCAAACACTCGCTAAAAACTGTCGAAAACTAAGGGTAAGTTTCCTTTTGTCATTGGAGACAATTTATTATATACTAAATCATGCACAATACTTACATTATATACTACCGTAATTATGATTTATATTATACATCATGTATAATATATATGTATATTAGATATTATATATGTATTATATATCAGGTACAATATAGAATAACGTAACTCTCCAATTTAATAAAAAAAATCACAGGACAAGAAAAGAAAACATACATTTATTTTAAAACAGCTTTTTTTATGCCATATAGAATAACTTCTTTTAAAAATTGCATATATTGATTTATATACATTTGTAGCATTAAAATTAAATGTTGTTTTGCAAATGATGTTTTAAAATTAGGAATTGGTAGAATTTTCATTACCATCATGTGCTTTACAAAAAGTTCCAAACTACTCTTTACAGAAGTCAAAACATTACATTGAAATTTCACTTAGCTCTTTATTTGCATTCTGAAAGCATTGAAAGAATTATAATATTTTCAAAATATAATTTCAAAAGAGCTGTAATTAATTATATCTGAAGTAGTAATTTAATTTTGTTAACTGAAGCATATTAATACTGCAATATATTTTAAAACTTTGAAAACCAATTAAAAAAAACCTAAATCATCACTTATTAAAATGTTTCTAAATTTTTAAGCACAATTTCTCTTTCAAAAATATCATTTGACTTAAATCAATGATTTTTCACAAAAAAAATCAGTCAATTTAAATCATGATTTAAATAAAACTGATTAATGATTTAAATCAAGCTTTCTAAAGAATGCGTACCCCATTTTCTCTTTGGAATTACATCATCTCTAAATCAAAATTCAAATTTATGGGGTACTTTTTTGGGAAATTTAAATTCGTAATGAAAATGGAAGTTCCAATTTAAAATCTATTTCCACACATTACCGACAATCTGTAATAGAGGCTAGAACAATCTCTTACAGAAACACAAAAGAATTACCTTTCTATTGAAAATCACAGAAATTATAATATTTAACAAAACATTTTCTTACCTGAAACTATTTCACGTCTATGACCAAATCTCCTAACTTTATTTTTTTCCTCACTTGTTTCGATAAATTTCTCAGAAGGAGTTTGTTTCACCTCAATATGATTAGAGTCACTAACATTAGCAGAACACATTTGATGAGCCAAATCAGAAAGATTGCATTGAGTTCTCAATAAAGCGGAAGCACATGTTATCACAGAAGGTCTTAACTGCTGTTGAGAACATTGATAATCTTTGTTATCAGTACGCTTCCAACTCATATCTAGTGGTTGATCACTATCTTCTTCAAACTTAGAAGTAAACTGTAAAGGTTCACAAGGCTCACACATTAAAGGGGAGGAGGGTAAAGAATTAACAGTTTTGTACATATTTGTAAAAACTGGAGAAAGTTCTTGACTGAAACTGTCAGGTGAAGACGACACTGATCTATCAGATAAACACTTTTCCACATCTGTTTCACAACTGCAATAAAGAAAAACTTCTGTAAAAATACAATTAAATTAACAATAATTTAGATTTCATGAAAAACCAATACTTAGTTTATCAGGGCAAACCTGTGGTAGTTTAAGGAAATATGTTAAGAATAGAAAGGCTAACATTACTTTTTTTCCTCTAAACTTACATTAAATTACTTTAAATCACAATGCCGCGCCCCATGCTAAGCATTCGCCACCTCGCCAAATGCGATAAAATCGGAAATTTGGCGAATAAATTTGTGTTCCTGCAAAAGTATTGCCGAATGATTTTTTTCACTAGAAAGAAAAATACATATTTAACTCTATCCTCGAAATTACATAAAATAAATTTTTCTAAAGAAATCACTATTTCTTATTCAATTACTGTAATTTTCAGTAAATGCATCGCCTAACCAATAAGAATTAGATCTAAATAATATAAGCCTGAAACAAACTACCGTAAACTAGGTTTCCATGTAAAAAAATTAACCATAAAAATTTTGTAAGATTTGCATCTGCGAAGACTTTCGAAAATTAACGAATACTTTTGATATTTCGCCAATTTACTGGCTAATAATTTGAAATCCTTAGCGCCAGCCCTTAGTACTGCAAATCTTCGGCAGTACTCAAGTATAACAAAACCTTTAAGCTAACCGTGTAAGGACAGTCCTTTTCAATTTCAAAGGACAGTCCTTTTCAATTTCAAACTGATAAAAAGACGAATTTCAGAAACCCTCCAAAACAACTGGTTTTAAATATAATTATTCTTCCACTGCAAATTTTTTTTTATTAAATTAGGTTCAAAAATTTCATTTACTTTTTTTTACATATTTCAAATCTAGATCTAATCTTTTTTTTTCATATTTCAAATTTTAGAATTAAAATACACACAAAAATTTTTTAAAAAGTGTTGTTTTTTTTTTCAATATAGAATTAAAACATAAAAAAAGTATGCCAAAAAAATTGAAAAAAAAAAACTTGATGATCTTTGAAAACTGAAAATTGATCCAATTAAATTACGATTTGTTTCATGAAATGGAAAGGCAAAACATATATACTAATAAAAATATGTAATACAGTGAAACCCCGATTTTACGTTTCTCAGGGGACTGGGTAAAAAAAACTTAAAATCCGGGAAAACGTAAAATACGGGAAATACTTAGATAGCAAAAAATCATATAATAATAATGGGAAAACAAAACAAACTAAAGGTAGTAAAGATGACTCTTTCAAAAGGTACTATTAAAATCTATATTTTACGAAAAGAATATTAGTACAGTACGACCTCGAAAATCCGGACTTCAGAAATCCAGAAATCTCTAAAATCCGGACTTCTGAAATCCGGAAATCTCTAAAATCCGGACTCAAACATTTTCAAAAGAAAAAGTTTAAAAAAATCGCTTAAAATAAAAATTTTAATGCAAGAGTGCAAAACCACAACTCTTCTCCAACAATGAAGCAGAAGATGAAGAGGTATGGGTGGGGAGTGAATGAAGGCTCATAGCTGATAAGGAAATTCCAATCATTCTTGTCAGCTCTGTATAGATAACAAAGAATATAAAGTGGAATCCCCTCCTCCTGATGGGGAATCCCACAACTCTTCTCCAACAATAAAGCAGTAGATGAAGAGGTAGGGGTGGGGAGTGAATGAAAGCTCATAGCTGATAAGGAAATTCCAGTCATTCTTATCAGCTCTGTATAGTTAACAAAGAATATAAAGGGGAATCCCCTCCTCCTGAAGAGGAATCCCCTCAGGAGGACGAATTCTTCTACCACTTTGTTTTTCCTCCTTGTGAAGAAAGAAAACTGGTTTTTTCCTAACCTTGAAGCTTTGGAGGCGGGGACAAGTTCTTTCATCCCCCAATAAAAAAAGGATTAGTATCAGCTGGTACAGTCTAGTCTAGAAGCATCTGTTTCAGCGATAAGTTGAAATTCAGCTCGAGTTTTAAGCCTATATTTTTAGTTTTAATTGCTAATATTATGTTATCTAAACGATCGATTACGGAGGAAAATGACGAAAGTTTGATTTTTAATGTCTTTTATTTATTATTTAAAGAGTATATTTATGCTAAAATTGACGTCGAAGGTCTACACACGCGCGTTTAATCGCGAAATCGGCCTGGCAACTTCGAAAGTTCGATAATTCTATCAATTTAAGTAAGGTATCTAAAATCCGGAAATTTCGGAAATTCGGACCTTCCAAACCCCCCAGCAGTCCGGATTTTCGAGGTTGCACTGTATTTAAAGAAAAAAACATACCAATTCCAGATCACTTTTACAATTTTTGTTAAGAATCATGTAATTTAGGTGCAAAACAGTGCGTAATAGTAGATTGTTTTTTAGACATTGAGTTCAAAGTAAATGCCTCATCTTCCAGGACTGAAATCTTTTGCAAATTTTCTTCCTGGTCTTTGTATGATAGAAAATAGTCTTTCACTCTTAGCAAACTTCTCAATGCTGTGTTGAAAGAAGGAACGGGCTGTGCTTCTGTTTCTTCTTGTTTATCTTCATCAGCGGATGAAAGGTCCATAACGTCGTCCACGGGTGGAGCAGTGATTCTCTCAGCTTCGCATGTTGCTAAGTTTTCTCGGATGTACTCGTCGAAGTCATAGCTAACTGTTTCATTGTCATTCTCCGAGTCTAGTCTATCTAATCCTGCATCTGTTAACGGTTCATTAGAAGCTACGATTCCGCTTTCCTCAAAACAGTGGGAAATGCACTTTTGTGTAACGCTTCTCCAAGCAGCAGAAACAAAATGCATAGCCTCCAGAACACTTAACTTTAGCTTGCAGGCGTCATTAAGGTTTCCGTTCTCTAGTTCAGCTACAACTTTCCGGACAAGTTGCTTTCTGTAAAAAACCTTAAATGATCGAATATTGCCGAGATCACAAGGCTGTAATTTGCTTGTACAGTTTGCAGGAAAAAACTCAACACGCACATTAGATAGCTGCAAATCCGCTGTAAAGTCTTTTAAACCAAATCTATTGACAATTTCTAGAGCTTTTTCTCTTAATATGGTGCCATTTACAGGTACATTAGCGTCACGAGCCTCTTTAAACCATTTTACTAAAATCCCTTCCATCTCGTCGTACGGGGATTTTTTCATTGTTCTCCGTTTCTTGGCATTTTTTTAACCGACTTTTTCAAAGTTTTTATCAATGCATTCTTTTTTCAGTAGTATGGATTGCAGGGTTGTTACGGGAATTCCTTGCAATTGAGCGAATGTTACTTTTGTTCCATGAAATTCATTAAACTGCTTAACAATTTCGGCTTTCTCAGCAACAGAAAAGTTTTTGCGCTTTTTGCTCACCATTTTCGTACGAAAGGGTTTGAAATGCGACCACCTTGTGCTAAACAACAACAGAGTCTGAAAAGCTGTAGAAACGTAAGGATCCCTTTTGCTTTCCAAGGAAGAAAATAAGTCACTACATCTGATTGGTAACTGGAGTGTCTCTTCTCCTATCTGTCTCATTCCTGCACCAATGAAATGTGTTGTTTCTGTACTTTGTTTCTTCGCCCGCTGCCTTGTCCGAGACAGGTAGCAGGTGTTCAACAAAGGAAGGGGGAGAGAGGACTAAAGTTCTAGAAAACAGTAGTCTGTGGAATGCGTTTCTGCTTTCATAGATTTACTTTCAACAGCGTGGATGAGCTTTAAAAAAGCAAACATAGAAAAAATATTGCTTATTAAAAAAAAGTTTTATTTTTTTTCTTTCTACAAAAAACGTAAAATGCGGGAAATTCCGTAAATTAAAAACTTACAATCCGGGTAAAATTAACATTGGAGGTATACGGAAAAACTGAGTCCTGATGGAAAAAAACGTAAAATGCGGGAAAAACATAAATTCGGGGGACGTAAAATCGAGGTTTCACTGTACTTAAAAACATTTATTAAAAATGAAATTTAGTAAGGTAAACTTTAAAACAAGATTCAAGGCAAAGTCCTACCTTGCATTCTTTGCACCAAATTTGTGTTTCTTAACAATTTTTTTTAACATGCTTCAATTTTTTTAGCAACAAACAGAACACTTCGAAAAGAGCAAACAAAATGTTACAACACATGTTAGTATATTTGACAGAAATATTGGCAACTAACAATGTCTGTTAACCCAGATCCTAATAAACAATTAAACAGACGGGCTGAAATGAAACCGAAAAGACTGTCTTTCACATTTAAATGCAGAAAAAATTACTTTCACAGGTGGAGGAAATTTTGCTACTTTTATGTTGATCATGGAAACTGTGGAATACATAGCGAGAAGGTTAAACAAACTTTTCTCCCCAAGTTACACACTGATGCATCTATAAAAGGATTGGGAATAGTAAAGAAAACAACAGATAATGAAAGGAAATACATCAGTCTTTAACTAAAAAAAAAAACGTGTAATAGAATTGTTTAAAAAATTTGGTATGTATGTGCCGAATTTACGTGCCGTAATTGTATGTGAGATACAGAATTAGAGCTCCAAAAATATGAAATTTATTAGCAGCTAAAATTAATACTGCACAGTTAGGTAAAATAAAAAATATTTATCAGAAATTGTTTAGCTTTGAAGAATATAGATTAGTCAATAGATATGTTATATTCATCAAAGACAATATATAAATACTTGACAATGATATAAATAGGGAAGAGTACTTCACAATGAAAGAACTTCATATACTTCCGAGAGTGTAGTTGAGAGAGGTAAATCAGGACAGAATGCATTTTAAGGTCTGTGTAGTGTGGTATAAAATAGAAATTCATTTGAATAAAAAAAGATTCCTAAGCATCTAGATAAGCTGATGTGACAGGGATAGAAAGAACATTAGCATTATCAAAATTAAATTCATCCTCGAGGTTACTAGAATTTCCCTCAAACTTCGTTTATGCGATGTGACATATTCTACACCCCTCGTTCAAGATACAACACTCTCCCCTATATTCATGTTTTCGATCACTTATTGACTTTGTTACAGAAATCAATGATGTTTGACAAAACAATTTCAAAAAGTTTAACCTTAAAGGAGAACTACTGCTCTTTAATCTCAGCCGCACTGGAGGAATAGTAGGAGAATCTCTTCTATCTTTATGTCTCTTTAATTTTAATCCTTTGGTGGGTAACTCTTTAAGAATATAATCCTTATTCTCCAATGAACTCATAATGGAATCTGTAAGAAAAAATTTGCTTTTTACTAAAAACTTTGAAAGACATCAAAATTCAAAAATATTTTTTTACAAAACTTATTTATTTGCCTTCTAATAAATATATTGTATTTCATATCATATAATATATAATATCATTATATTTTTATTATATTGTTTGTTTTTTCATCAAATAGTTGGAAAGTTTTCCACACATATAAACTAAAATAATCACGAAATATCAAAATCAAATAATACGAATAATCAAAATTTCATGCGACTTTCAAAATCTCAATATTTTAATATGACATTATCACGTGCCATTAAATCTGAATCAAGCATTTCAATAATGACTTTATGATGCACTCAATTAACAAAGATCCCACTAAAATATCCAGGTAGTTTTAGATTTATTGATTACATTTCAGAGATATTGCCACAAATTTTCATACGATATTTAAAATCCAAATTTTTTTTCTATATTGTTAAATAAATAAATACTAAAAGGGGTTTTTCTTCGTATGATCTTATTTTTCTCAATCATAATAAAGCTTAAATCTTTCGGTTTTTGTTGGCTTATGCATTCAACTTACGCCGGTGATGTCATGTACTATGAGTGTTAGGCCGATCTTTTTCTTCATTTGCTGTCGGTTAAACATGCATGGCTCATGTCATTCCAGATTTCTTACTACATTTGTTAAATATTACATAAGTGATAAACCCTTAAATTTATACTTTTTTAAAATGTTGCCTTTAATTACTGAGTTTCGTGTAATGAAAACTCAGGGGCCTGTCTAGGTTTTTCTGTGAGGTACCTATTTTGTGAAAATTTAGACATAATTTGTGAAAATTAAAAATTATATTAAAAAATCTAATGTGGTAAAAATATGGATTTATCGTTTTTTAAGAGATACAAAAATAAAATTTTAGGAAAAAGTATTTTGTGAAGTTTTTCCTAAAGTTGAATTTGTGAAGGTACTGCTAAACAGTAGTAAATTTGGCTTGGACAGACCCCTGAAACTTTAATTACAAATCGAATAAAATAAGAAGAGTGAATTCAATAAAATAAGAAGATTGGCTAAAATGCTTTATGCAATTAGTGGATGGTGTCCTGGGTACAAAAATCAGCAATAATAAAATCATTCCTAGGAAAATTTTGGCACACTGAAGCTCTGTGATTGTTGACTGCTATGGATTCACATGAAAATTTTTACTTAGTAAATTATCCCCAAATCATGTTCAAAAATTATGATACTGTGTAAATAATGGTGCTTACCAGCAAAAAAAAAAAATTAATTATTGGAGAAGAAATTTGACAATGTTTAGTTCATACACAACGTAATTTTTATTTTATTCACACATAACTGACTAAACATCATAAATTTTTCATTAATAAGGAATTATATTAATATTAATAAATATATACGTATTAAACATTTGTTAATAATAAAAACTATTAATCTGTTATATTTTTTAAATCTCCACTATTGAGACATTAAACAAATTGGGATATTTATGCAAAAATCTCATAGTTCGCCTATAAATAACATTTTTTTCACATTAAATTGTTTTGTTTGATTGACAAAGGAGGAATAGGCAGATAGAATTTTATTTTCCTTCAGATAAAGACACTCTCTTCACAAAAAAGATGGCCAAGGAGTTAAGCAAGTAAGATATTAATAAGAGCTAAAAATATTTTTTATATAAATCTGTCAAAAAGTATGCTATTTTCCTTTACTGTTGCAATTTTTAAGTACTGGAAGAATAAAAAAAAATTATTATTAACCTTATCCTTTTCACTAACTACTTTTCTAAATATATAAAATATAATCGGATTGCTCAAAAATGTAGACCTGAAGGAAAGATTTTAAAATTATTTTTGATAAATTGATAATTTAATAGCATAAAACAATGAAAAGAAAAAATGACAGAATATCAAAATCACTACATGCTATGAAGAAAATATACACTAGCATGCAAAAGTTTTTGGTCAACGTGTGAAAGGCATTTTAACCTTTCTATGCAATTTTTTTTTTCCTTGTAGAGATGATTTCCGTTTTATGTAGTCAAACCAACATATATACAGAAGGGAACCGATTATCCGGAACGATCGGGACTATCGCTATTCCGGATAACTGATTTTCTGAATCGCTACAAAAAGCCGTTTATTTTATTGTTAAGCCCAACTAAAAAAAAAATGTTTGGAAATAATCTTAAAAAGAAGAAAAAACGATGAATTAATACACTAATGATTATTTCCAAAATGATGGTAAGGTTAACATATTTCAAAAAAGAACGAAAAATCCTGAAATCTTATGAGGAAAAAAAAAAAAATTTTTGAATTTCGTTCCGGTTTTTTGGTTTTCCGGTTTTCTGATTTCCGGATAACGGGTTCTGTACTGTATTACACTTGATTTCAAAATTTTTACTTTTCTTGCAATTTAATGGAAAATGTAATCTTCAATGGATTAAATTTAAATCCTTGCACTCAGTTCAGTTGAATATTTCTTTTTTTTATATAATTCGAGTCTTGAAAGAACTAAATTTATTTCAAATCACGATTTACGTAAATAAATATGCAAAACTTATGCTTATTTTTATCTTTCAATTGTATTTCCATCCAATTCTTAGATGTAAGAAAATCTCTCCACAAAAAACAAATACCTGACTGATATGAAAATTGCATTTGATTTAAAGTGACTTTCAAAGCACTAGCTTTGCTTTCTGGTTGATAAGCATATTAAGAATGTTCAGAAATAAAATTATACATTATTTATTACATTTCCAATCAACCATCTATAACAGTGATTATCAAACTTATTTCTTTTACCGCCCCCTTTGACAATCAATTATTTTTCAGCGCCCCCCCCCTTTTTTTTTATACACCACTAAAACTTAAAAACCACAATTTCATTACTTTAATTAATTTAGTTATATATTAGTTGGTTCTGATCTTAAACTTACATTCTAAACTAGAAATTTTTACCAGTGAGAGCAAATAAAACCCAACTTTATAATATTAATAATATATTTTAATCAAATTAAAAGAAACAATATAAATATGTAATCAGTTTTCGTTTTTATACTAATCTAATGAGATGGATCAATTTGATGATATTTAATAAGTTTGTTGATATCAGGTTCGATTTTACTCAAAAACAGTCGTAAGTCGTCGCGTTTGGTAACTTGCAAATGATTTCTCTTTTTGGTAAGCAGCGTTGTCACAGCCCTAAATCCACGTTCACACAAATATGACGATGGGAATGCTATCAAAAATCGTTCAACGATAGACCACAATCCAGGGTACAACTGCGGAATTGACTTTTGTAGCCAAAATTGTTGGTACCCATTTTTGTATTTGATTTTTATTTCCTCGTTCGNTATGACGATGGGAATGCTATCAAAAATCGTTCAACGATAGACCACAATCCAGGGTACAACTGCGGAATTGACTTTTGTAGCCAAAATTTTTGGTAGCCATTTTTGTATTTGATTTTTATTTCCTCGTTCGTTGTCAGTTCTATAAGTTCTTCTTCCAACTGGGGTGATATTGCTATGTTGACATTTGAAAAAGGATCTAACACCCAGTCTGGTATTTCCAATTTCAAAATGAATCAATGAAATCACTGTGAAGATTTTCCAAATGTTGGCAGTAGACGAGCAAGTCGTCGTTGTAGCATGATACTGATAAATTGGAAATCTTCTTACAACTTGATTGACCAACCGAAAACTTGTTACAGCTTGATTGCGTACGGTGTGCGGGCTATCCTACGAAATCTATGTTAAGTATTTTAAGTTTTTATAACATCATACAGGGTAGAAATATTAACTAATTATTCGTTATTGTGTAGTAGGTGGGTTTTAATTTTAGTGAAATTTAAAATACTATATAAAGTAAATGAAATAACAAATTATACATCGCCCCCTAACCCACATCAACGCCCCCCATTTTTTCTGAGCCCCTTAACGCCCCCCTCTAGGTTTCAAACGCCCCCAAGGGGGCATTATCGCCCACTTTGAGAAAGACTGATCTATAATATTGAGTTTGACCAAAGACTTTTGCACGCTAGTGCACATTGAACAAAAAAAATAATAATATAATAATAATAATTTTATGTAAAAATAATTTTTTTTTAATTTATAATTAATAAAAAAAATAACTTACTGATTTTAAAATACAAAACTGATTTTATTTTTCACATTACCAGGTAAGTAAAGGGTCAAAAACAATATTCATTCAATACCTAAAGGAAAAAGAAGGAAAAAAATTAGAACCAAAAAATTTAATTGGATGAACATATGTTCGCAAAAAAAAAAACGACGAAAGATCCTGCAGATAAGAATAAATCAAAGTTAATAAAATTAAAGTAAATATATACAAAAGAATGACTAACGAGGAAAAATTAAAAGCAATTTGCTCATTTTCTATCTGTAATAAATAGGTTAGACTTCCACTCCTAAACAAGAAAATTGAAAGTAAAGGGTAAGATTAACGGTCACCACTCATCACACAGCAACTAAAAAAATAAAGTGGCCACAAAAAATTACTCTCATTCCCCCCTTTCCTCCCAATGATGTCACACAATCATATTCCTACTTTTGAGAGTCGTTCGTGAGAGCTTGATTTTGTCTACCGGCGGAGAGCGGTGCTTCTTGGTTTCACTAGTCACATTTTACCATAGTGTTATTGCTGGCTTCACATAACGGATGGTTTTGTATCCTGATGCTTGATTTCACGCAATATTTCTGCTTTCGCACATCATTCATGGGCGCATATTTTGTTTTCCGATAAGCAGCAGAATTTGTTGGATATTACGTAACTTACTTTGTCATTTGCTAGGACTTTTGAAATTTAGCTGATTTACAGACTAATAATTTGAAATCCTTAGCGTTAACTAAAGGATTTCAACCCAAATAAAGCCAAATGCCATTAACTTATGATGATCAGATACAACTAGCTCTAGACATCCAAATTTTAAGAATGGATACAAGAAAATTATTTTACCACCTAGAATGAACCCTGAAATTTTAATAAAAATTGTGTTAATAAACTAAATAAAAACACAATATTCTACTATTTCCAATTTATTTCCCTACTAACAGGACAACACACAGATCTTTAAAAAATGGCTTTACTGAGATATAGCAATTTAAAAATGGCCAATGTTTTAATATTTACAGAGTGTAATTTTTATTTCTTCCAAATTCTCAAAGGATTATTTTATAGAAAATTTTAAACTAGTTTTAAAACAAAATTTACAATTTAACTACTATAAAGGGACTTGAGATTGCCACCTTCACTCATAAAAAAAAAATTTAACATTAAAAAAAAAAATTTAGAATTCTTGGTAATAATTGGCTCAATCTTCTTTTATTAAGAATATTATATACAGTAGAGCGCCAATTATCCGAGCTGCTCGGGACCGAACGAATGAAAAGTTCATTAACCACCATAAGTGACAACTACCCATCCCCCAATTGTAGAATTCCAGCACTTATCTATTCATAAACACATTCCGCTCTCCAACCATTATAGATTGTCAAAATGAAGCTCGCATTCTTTGATGATAATTTTCAGTTGAAGAGGGCTAAAGGGGTATGTAGGTTTAACTGTATAATAATACATGTGTGTATGGCTACTATAAGAGAACTGCTGAAAAAGGTTGTAAATTAAATATGGTGTAGTGGGTATTATCTATTCTTCTAAATTTAGAAAAATTATTGATAAGTTAAAAAAAATTCTGAACTTAAAAAAAAAAACGAATCCGGACATAGTTTGGATAATTGGATGTTCGGATAATCGGCACTCTAATGTAATAATATCTATTCTAACTATGAAAATAAGTATAATATATATCCCATTCTTATTCTTCTATTTAAATATTTACTCCAACTATGCTACATCTAACTATGTTAAATAAAAATTTTAAAAAAAAAATAGATTTAATAGTTTTGACTCTGTAACTCTCACGGTATAAATTTAAAATTGTCTTTAACATAAAGTATTAGATCTAAATTTATACAGTTGCATCAATAGGGGAAAAAAATTTCTTTAAATAGAAATAAAAATTTCTTTTTTCCACAAAATCTTTTTGGAATATCCTTTCATAACTTCGATACCTGAAATGCCCTGTCTGAATTAAATAGGTATTTTCCTAATCAGAAAGATGAGTGATTTGAAATTTACTGCAAGATACAAATATAAAAATTAAACAAATTAACAAAATTAGTTTCTATGAAAAAAACTCAAAAATGCCAAAATCTTACATTTCCATCTGCATACATGTAAAATTACATTAGAACTACTTATTTCCAGAATCAAATGAAAAAAAAATCAAATAATTAATTATAAAAATTTAAAACATAAACTTATACAATTTGTAAATGCTTTTTACAGGAGTACATTTAAACATTTATTTATTTAATTTGAAAGAAAAGTAAAAACAAATTAATAATAAAAATTTCGAAAGTAAACTTAAATAATTTATAAGTACTTTTTAGAGGAAAACTCAATAAAGATCATTAACGGAGTTAATTTGTAGGAAACGCAATGTAATCAAGATAAAAATTTCAAACATAAAAACTAAATAACATTTATGTTTACAAAATTCGTAATCAGAGATTAACAAACGTCAGTTTTCAAAGAAACTGTCTCGATTTTTGAGGATCATTTGGTGCAATATTATTTTTCTGACAAGCAAGTAATTCATCAGTGATGCTAGATCATAAATATAAAATTGAACGAAATTATGCACAATATATTTTAATAAAACAACACAGATAACTCATTTAAGGTAGAAGGCCGATCACAGAAAAATAATTTACTATTAATAATAAGAAGTAATTATGCATAAAAGAAAACAAAAAAAGACAAAACAAAAACACTCTCATACCTCAAAATTCTTTAGAGTGCAACAACATAAATAAAAAATATATTTTTACTAACATGTCAGGAATTCCTAAGAAAATTTTAACTTCTCTTCACTTCGTGTCCATTTCTTATCTTAACCATTACTGCATGTGTGACTTGGATGCCGACCCTTTTAATTAAATACACCTCTTTGATTGGCTGTAATTAGCATTGTTTTCATCGTTATTGCTTAATCGTATTTTCTGGTTTATATTATTTGGCAATTCTATCCCCTATTGGCGAACAAGGAAAATCCCCAAATTTGTTGAATACAAAACAATTACGAATGCAGGGATAGGGAAATATATTTCCCCTTTGCTCTCTCCCTTTTCCCTAACAATTTGTGGTTCATATTTTTGTTTCATTACTTATTTTTGTTACATATTACATTATTAATTTGAATGCGCTCGCTTACTTTGATCACGTCAATCCGTCTTTTATAATTAGTCGCGGCTGCTAAGCAACGTCTGGTTTATACGCAACATGTGTGCCCTCGCGATGAGCAGCATGTTCCCTTGATTTCGTGTATTTATATCAACAGCGTTTAGAAGACGAAAGTGATAAGTCTGTTATGTTTTAACGATCGGAAAGTTTTAATTTGGATTGATTATGTAAAGCGTGTTTTACGTTCTTAACTTCTCCTTTGACTTGTTGGAAATTTATTATTCCTTTTAGTTATCAACAATGGCACAAGTATTGTTAGACCAAGAACAAAATCAGCACAGATTAAAACGAAGTATTTTTGAAATAGCCAATCGGTTAATAACCTCGGACATCCAAAATGATAAAACTGCTAATAGAAAGCAGAAAAAGTTTTCTAAAATTGAAAAAGAGTGAGTAAAAAAATTTTTTATAAACTGTGTAATTTTGTATTTGTTTTTTATTAACTCAGTGAAATCCGATATCATCCATAATCTGATACCTCTGTTAATCAAAGTTGTTTCCAAAATGTTTATTTTAATGTCTTTTTTTTTTTAATTTTAGTTCCGAAAGCACATAGTTTTTTTCTATTCTCAATTTCATTAATATGTTGTCATAATAATTGTGTGAGGTTTTCAAAATAAAATGGGGAATTGTTAATACTATAAAACCCATATCTACAAGGTATTTTTTATTAATAATACAATAAAACCTATTTCATCTGAAAATTGATCATTCGAGTACAGGGATATTTCCCTACCGTGATCTGTCGCGCCAACTACAATGGCCAAAGTGACAAATAGATTTTAAACTTTCAATTTTTTTTCTAAGAAAAAACATGTCGATGTTTGCCCAGGGGCGGTTATGAGTTATATCTTTCAAGTTGGTCCCTTACTGTGATGTTATTTTTAGTTTCTCTCTGACAGCTGCCCTAAAGTTGCCAAGACTTGGCAATTATTCTGCCACAGATCACAATACAGAAATCTCCCCTACAGTACCTCTGTTGATCAAAATTAGTTCTAAAGTGTTTTTAAATGTTTTTATACTTTAGTTCTCAAACCATATAACTTTTTTTCTCAGTTTCTTTAATATGCTGTCATTGTAATTCAGCTGTAGGTAAAGCATGATTTTATGTCAGATTGTTAGTTAAAATGAATTAAAACATAGAAGCTATTATCACTGCATTAAATTTTATTGAGAAATTGAATTTCAAACTAGACAGATGTTTAAAATTCGATTTCTCAGAAACTATTAGATCGATTTTCTGCAATTTTGTATTCCGCTAAATGAAATAACGTTCTTTAAAGTGGCGTAAATAATTTTATACCTTTCAATTGTAATTTTTATACTATTAAAATAATAAATATTTACTAAAAGTAATTTTTTGCAAGGAATTACTTTTCGATTAACGGATTTTATAATTGTGTGCAGAAAATTTTCAATTCACTTAAAGAGTTATCAGAATATAAGGAATACTCAAAAAGTTAAATCAACATTAAGGAGGTCAAACGATTGGGACTATATTTCCCAGATTCCCCAATATTTTGGGGTTAATAATCCGAATACCTTGAAAAAAGGTTATTCAGAGAAAGTTTGGATTTCTTAACTGAAAATATTATCTACACTAATTAATTAGCATATTTGAGATCACCCCCATTGAACCTTTAGGATTGAGTCCTGGAATGTGAAGATCTGATCATTAGATCAAAAGTTAATCAGGGTAGCCCCCTTTTTTTTTTTTTTTTTTTTTTTTTTGTGCACTATACAATGAAGCCTATAAATAGTATAGAATATATTAGTCTTGTCATAAAAAGGAGAAATATTATCTATTTATTCTTAAAATTGCTTTAATTTTGTTTGGATTTTTTTTTAATTGAAAGTTTTAGTTTTTTATCATAAAATTAAGCCTTGTAAGTTTTTTAACTAAATATTTGTTGAGACAGCTGTTTTAGGCGTTTCAAATGTTGGTTAATATTTTTTTTTCCTCACAGTTATTCAACTTCTGATGAAGAAAGTGTGGACTCTCCTGATTTGGAAGACAATGGATCTTTTGAAGAGCCAAATTCTGACAAAGACACCGAAGCATTACCTGATGCAATACAGCCCTCAAAAACTAAAAGTAGAGGGTATGAGATTATGAATAACTAATACAATTTATAATTTATTTACTCTTGTTTGTTCTTATTACAGTTTTTTTTTTTTTTTTTTNTTTTTTTTTTTTTTTTTCATTTCTAAAATTGCAATTAAAGAATCCAAATGAGCTTTATTTTTAAAATATATTTGAAGATCAAGAGTGAAAAAAGTTTTGCATCCATTTCTCACAAAAATAAGGATTGGATTGCTGTTTGTTGCATTTTAAATTTTACTAAGTTTGACTAATAAATAACATTTAAAATTGGTTTTCCCTGACAGTTATAATATAGTGAAGATGGACTGTGTATGGAAAAAACGGTTATTGCTCATCTTGAAATATGTTTTTCTTAGAATTTCAGCTTTTGATGGACATAAACCATTCGTACTCCTTGAAGTGTTCATTCTAGATCTTAAAAAGGGCATTGTTCACAAATATTTCCATAGCTTTTAAGAACCAAAAATAAACCAAGTTTTTTATTTTAACATTAAAAATATTCTTAATTTTTTTAAAGAGAATTGGTTTGAATTAAAAATAATTCCTCAGTTAAATTCACACTTTTTGTAAATTGATTTCAAATTAAGGACAATTCTAGAATTTTTTTTATATATTGCGTGTCAAAATAGTAAGTAACTTATAAAAACGATGTTGAAATGTATGAAAAAACAATCAGTAATATAAAAAAAACAATAAAGAATTAAAATGCGGATTTATGATAGAATCATCGCGAATCAAGCTTCTAAAGAAGTTATAGCTAAAATGTAAAATTTGCTAACCATAACATCGTATTAATTTCATCAGCATTGAAAAAACCACGAAGGAATAGTCAAGAAACGTCCAATAACTATTTTTAAAAAACGACCCATAAATGACATATTTATAATTGAACAGTAATGTTAAATATTATACTTTTCAATGTAAAAAAAAAAATCAAGAGTGCTTCTTGTCTTTAACAAAAATAAGAAGTGGGTTTTACCTAAAATAATTCAAAGATTTTTTTTTATAGCACAAACACATAGCTTCTTTGACCTCAATTTTTTTTCTATTAATGTTAAAATTTTTTTATGTTTTTTTTTTTTTTATATTTTTCATTCAAGTGGATCAACAAAAAAAAAATCAAGAGGCTGTTTTTTGTTTTTGGTCAGTAAAAGAATAAAAAGTGGTTTTTAACCAGAATAATTTAGAATTTTTTCATTGCGCAGAAACAAAGCTTCTTGACCTCAATTTTTTTAACCAAAATAGATAAGATTTTTTAGAGTTTTTGTATGTGAATTTTTTTCTCATTATGTTAGTTGTCATATTCACCTCAAATTTTTAACGTCATTTTTTTTCTTTAGCAAAAAATTTTTTTCTTCTTCTAAACACGAAATTTTTCAATATAAAAGAAAATCAAGAGATTGCTTTCTATTTTTGGTCACTTAAAAGATAAAAGTGATTTTTAGTCAGAATATTTAATTTTTTTTTTAGCCCAAAAACAAAGTTTCTTGACCTCAAATTTTTCAAATAATGTTAAATGTTATATATTTTTTAATGTAAAAAAATTTTAACACACTTTTTTTTTTTTTTTTTCTTTAATGGAAAGAAAATGGTTTTTAGCCAAAATAAATCAAAATTTTTCTCTTTCCATAAAAGGAATATTGCATAAGAATGCAACTACCGATTTGAAATTTTACATGCTAAAAGAGCCATATTTGTTTATGGAACTTTTTTTTAAATTCTAATCAGTTTATCCAGATCAAAATTTATTACAATTTTAACTGCTTTTCACGCTTTTTTTGCTTTACGTTGCGTTTTGTTTTGTTGTACAAAAACAATAAGACTTCGAGACTTGAACTTACAAAGGTTTGTAGAAAAATGCTAATGAAAAATGATTTTGTAAATGATGATGAAATAAAAAATTTGACAAATTATGTCAATTTGATAGTTCTTGATATATTAACTGTTAAGTTTGAAGTTAAAAAAAAAAAAAATTTGTGAACCATTCTGCAGTCCATAGAAATGCAATTACTAAATTTAAATTTGGCATACTGGAAGGGCCATTTTCATTCATACGATTAACGCAAGTTGTTGTTGTTTTTGTTTGTTTGTTTTAAACTTCTTTTGTTTTAAATCACTTTTTATCCCTTTTTGTAGAAAAAATTTAACTCTCTTGCATTTGACTTTAAAGTCAAAAATAATAATAAAAAAAATGAATAAACATAATAAAAAAAAGAGAATGAAAGACAACATTTATTTGACAATATAAGATTTATATTGCCTAATATAAATCTTAACATTTGTATCAAAATTTTTAATAACATAAAAGGCTCAAGAAAGATAGAAAATGTTTCTAATTTGACCTGCTCTATGATATAAGGATCCACTAAGGTTAAAGATAATAAGTAAATTTTCTTCTCATTTACTACTTTTTTTGTATCCCACATTTCTCTAATCCTAAGTTCAAGTATTTTTTTTTAAGGACAATTGTTGGTTTAAAATCCAGGTATCCTTTTATGATGCTATGTTTAACATGTTAACAAAATGTGTTTAGATGAATTTATAATAGCAATGATTTTTTTTTAAATAAATTATTTTTACTAAATCAAATTTTAAGGGAAAAAAATTATGAATGAGGAGTAATCACAGAGATTGATAAACAGAACAAAAAAGCTAGAGCCTTTATTTTGGCTAAAATAAAAATTTTCCCGACTAAAAATACTTTTTTGATTTTATTTATTTTTTATATTGAAAAGTATGAGATTTTATTATGATGAAAAAAAATTTAGATCAATAAAGTTTGTTTTTGTCTTGTAAAAATGTCTTCAAGTATTTTGGTTAAAAACCACTTTTTATTTTTAATGACCTACAAAATACACCTTTTTGTTTACATCGAAAAATATGACATTTAATATAAAAATAAAAAGCCATTATCTGTAGTTACACCATTTTCTAAAATTGAGTCTTTTTTGTCATAACATTTATAAGGCATTCATAAAAAAAATTTGAATTACCCATTAAAAGAATTTTCAGGGGTCTGTTCAGACCGAATTTACTACCGTTTATCGGTACCTTCACAAATTCAACTTAAGGAAAACGGTAGTTTCACAAAATACTTTTTCTTAAAATTTTATTTTTGTATCCCTTAAGAAACGATAAATCCATATTTTTGTGTTGATTTTTATAATATAATTTTTAATTTTTCACAAATTATGTCTAAATTTTCACAAAATAGGTACCTCTCAGAAAAACCTAGACAGACCCCTGATTTTATTATGCGTGATTTTTAGCATTCTTTTAGTACAGAATTCTAGAGACCGAGCAAATATTTTACTTGTCCAGAATTATAAATTAAACATTTTCAAATTATTCATGTTTTACTGCATTTTAATATCTATTTAATGAATAATTTATGCATTAATGAAATTTGTTCATATAAAGGTTTTCCTGCACAATTTGTGGTCATGTAGCTTCAAGCACTGAGAGATTAAAAGAACATCTTAGTCGTCATACTGGCAAAAAGCATCTTGAATGTGAAGTTTGTGGAAAGAAATTTGCTTGGCGCTACTCTTTTAGAAGTCATGTGGTAATTATTCTAAACTAATGCTTTAAAACTTTACCTTTTTTAGTCGTCATGTGTTAAATACATTACTTTCCTTATGTACTGCCTATTTGCATTATGCAACATTAAGCACTCTTTCAATTTTTCATTTATTCTCTATTAGTCAATAAGATAGCTATTTCAAAAATTATTTCTGACTATCCATGTGCTCAAAAAAGTGATTGAGCAATGACAAAGGAGACCCATGTGACACTAACATCTCAAATTTTTCCAAAAATTTTATGTACTACAATATCTTTTTCAGTTAATTACTTAGTCAAAAGTTAGACATATTGAAATATCATATAAATATCGAAGTAAGATCGACAGATAATGCCAATAATGTTCTTTTAATAATGAAAAAAATTGCATGACAATATTCCCCCAGCATCTTTTTGCAATATTATATAGCGTAATAAATCAGGCATATTAAAATATACATATGTCATCATAAGATATAGGAGGATATCTTCCAGTGATATTCTATCAATTTTCAATATCATTTAATGTGCACAATATTATACAAATATTTATTTTATGTATATCAAATATTTTACAATTTATGTTAATTATTGTATAAATATTTTATAGATATTCATGTAATTTATGTTTAAATTTTTATCCCGTGTACCGATAATACAAATGACTGATAGCAAAACTATTACAGTATTAAGTATTTATAAAAGGATAGATCACTGTCTTTTGAAGTAATGTAGTGTTTGTCTAAAACTACTTTGAAGGAATAATGATATTTTTTTCTTGCAAAAGTGCAACACTCATCCCCAGATTCATCAAGAGCCCTGAGAAGCCTTTGCCTTCTTTTTTTGGACCCTCAATTTTTGTTTGTATTTTTCCTTATGAATTATTGATATTTGAATTAGATAAAATTTGAAAGAAATATTAACCCAAATTTATATTGTAATTTATAATATATATACATATCGCATAATTAGCTTATGTTATAAATAACTTAAAGCAATTTTCAACTGAACTACAAGTAAATTGGGTTTAAAGTTACAACCAGTAAGGGCCCCAACAGTTATGTTCCTACAGTCCCTGGAGCCCTGGTTACACTTGACAGTTCTGTCACCAGTCGTTAATTTTCAGCTGCACTTTCCATATGTGATATATATGTGTGTGTGTGTATTAAGTATATCTGACAATATTCACAAATGTGGCAATTAAATTTTTGAGAAATTTTCTATTTAGTGTTTAAAACTGTGTTTTCTTTTTCTATGGGACATTACTTATAAGTAATGTCACATAGAAAAGTGCACAGCCTTTTGAGAAATAAATATCAGCTTACAAAACAATTTGATATATAAAAATTATCTTTGTATAAAATATTTTTTTTTTTAATTATACTATTTGAAATTGTTAATACAACATGCCTGATTTGTAGCTTCAATTATGATTATTATGTGATTTATTAATTTAATTCTATTTATGAAATTTGATTATTATACTTACAGTTTTTTGTATAATTTTAATATTTCGTTCTTTTTACTCTATTTATTGACAAAAAGTACTGAAAGAAACTACAAGTTAGTTTCTTAAGAAATTTATTAATCTCTTTTTCTTCTCAATTGTTGCTTTTTAGTTTTCACTTATTGAAAAATGGTGTGTTAATTTTTTTGGAAATTAGTACTGTTAATTAAATTTTCTTTTTCAAAAATTATTTTTTTCCTCTTGAGGGATAGTTTTTTCCACTTTGGAAGAAATTTGAAATCCTTGTATAATTTGTCAGTTTAAATGTTTTAAAATCAACATAAGACTTTTTATTATGCACTATAAGCTTTATTTTATTTATTTTTTTAGGCTTCTCACAGAGAAGATAATCCAAATAAATGTTCTATTTGTGGAAAGAAATACTGTAATAAATCTTCAGTAAAAAATCATATGATAAGAGTACATGGCAACCCTATGAAAGAATTTAAATGTGATAAATGTAATAAAGCATTTGTAACTAAGCCAGAATTAGAGAGACATAGTTATAATCACACAAAAGAAAAACCCTTTATTTGTGAATATTGTGGAAATACATATCGATTTAAAGCTGCTTTAGTAGTTCATTACAGAGTTCACTCGGGGGAAAAACCATACAAATGTGCATTTTGCGATAAAGCTTTTATCCATTTATCATCTGCTATTGGACACAGGCGTAGACATACAGGGGAAATGCCTTACCAGTGCAAAGAATGTGGGAAATTGTTTCGTGTGAAACGAGCTTTAACAGCACATATGACTGTACACAGTGATAAGCGGACTTATAAGTGTGATAAATGTGAAAAATCATTTAAATCAAGAAGTGGTTACCGTGTTCATTTAGATTTTCATCTTGATATTAAAAGACATCGTTGTAAATATTGTGACAGAAGCTTTCGGGCTTGGTGCAATATGCATAAACACATGAAAAGGCATCTCAATGAGAAGCCTCATAGGTGTGAAACCTGTGATAGAACCTTCATAGAAAAACAAGAGCTCAGAAGTCATATGAAAAGTCATAATAATGATAAAAAATGTCCCAAAATTATTAGAAATCCAGAAATAGTTTCAAATACTTGTGGACAGATAATGCCTCCTCAAAATTTATGTTCTGCTCCTAATATGACTGAACAAACCATTTTTACTGAAAATCCTCACCCAGAGGAAATTATACCTCCACATATAGATATATCTGATAGTCAAGCAGTTCTATATGACTGTAACCTTTTGAATTCAATGGATAAATGCCAAACTGAAAAATGTCAACTTTTACAAGACAGTTATATATCACAGTTTTTATATCCTCAACATTCATCACTTCAATATGCTTCACCTTCTGTTCTTAATATGTATTCTAATGATGGTGGTCTGGTTTCTAATAGATCAACTTGCCTTTCTAATCTCAATACTCCAAATTATAATTATATGCCTGCAAATAATCAAAATTATAATGGATTTTCTTATACTTCTACTGAAACTCTATTATCAAGGTGTAAATTATGTCGCAGCCTATTCCATTCTTCAATCTTTTTACGAACTCACCTCTTAGATTATCATAGAATTGAAGAAGAAGCTATTGATGAGTTTATGTCTTGATTGAAAGTATTCTTTTATTTTTTCTTACTCTTAAAAGGACAATTAGAATTTGGGATCAGTTTTAAGATGGTTTGTTTATACTCCAGTTTTTAAAGTTTCTTAAATACTTTTTTCTTCTCTCAAAATGTTATAAAACATCAACTTTTATTTTCTTTATAGTAAATTTAAAAATATATATGTTTTTAAATCTCTGCAATAATCGAAGTGTACATTAACACCTGCTATGATTTAAATTCTCATTGATAAAAAAGGATTAAAAAATTAAACCGGTGACATTTTCAGAATCGATTTTAAAAAAATCTATTAAGATGTATATTACATGTATTTTACATAATATTTTATCATGAATTTAATTATGTTTTATAATTTTTTTATCAAATTATAGCCTTTTTAAAATGAGATGACCATAGAAGCCCATTTCAAACACCAATTTTTATTTTGTTGTTTTTGAGCATTTGCTTTCATTCTAAATCAAAGTCAAAACTTTAATAGTGATCATTTGTATATCAGTTTAAAGAATTATGTGTTTTTTATCGGCCTTATCTAAAAAGTAATCTCAGTGCTCTCAAACTGGTTTGGTTCGGGGTTGGAGGAGTTGGTTTATGGATTCGTGGCTGCGCAATTGTCTCTGACCATTTGAAGAATAAGAAAAAGCATTTTTGTTATACTTGTTTAAACACTACCTGTGCAAGCTCAATCAAGTTTTCAGTGTTTGTAGTGGTAAATTTTCACATAATAAAAACATTTTCTGATCATTAAGTGTTTATTAGATGTAATTTTTAAAGGCCCTGGGGAGGTTTGAGAAAAATATGTATGCTGCATGTGACTCAAACTCAAGATTCTCACTTGAGTGTTCATTTAATATCACACATATTAAATATTATATATTGCCCGTGAAATTATATTTTTTCTACTCTAAATTATCTCTAAATATTTATTTACATCAATTATGTTTTACTTGTGCAATATATTAATTTAACTCTTTCCTCAGACATTGGTCAGTGTTAGAAATCAAACTAACATAAAATTCATATCTGTGTCATATTTAAGCTTTTTACACTCAAAACTAATTTATTTGTCATAATAGTTTGTTATATGTTCTCATTGAAGCATCCAGAGAGGTTTATAACCCCTCTTGAAAAAACAGCATTTTTTATTCCATTAAATAAAGACAGTTTTTTAATTTGTTTTCATAATTTTTTTTGTGTGTTTTGCATATGATTTATTTATTTTGCAATTTAAGGAAATTCTTTAATACTACATTTCACTGGTAAAATTGTTAGTTCCTTGTAGGAATTCTAATTTTATTCTTCTCTTCTTCCAAAGAATATTTCTTGTCAAAGTTTCGCATTCTGTTTTCTCCTCTTTACTTTTCAGAAAACACAGGCTCTGGCTGGAACTCTAAGGAGCTCCACAATAAATTTCCAGAAACTTTGTTTTGCTAGTCTTGTTATAGAAAGAGGGTTTCTCAGGTGTAGTGAAAGGTCATTTGGTAAATGAGTACTCTGGCAGATGTGACGTGTAACAATATTATTTTTTTCACAATAACACTTTTGTTACAATATTAAAAAAAGCGATGCAGTTAAAATTCCTTCTTCTGTGGATTTTAAGCAAACTTGTATTGTAGTAAGGTTTGAAGAATTGGAATCAGTTTTAAACTAATTCATCCTGAACACTCTTGTGATGTCCCCAACCGCCACAGAGACTTCTGAAATGCTTCTCTACCATTTCTTACAAGTTTCCTGTATATTTCTAAGGGGCAAAACAATAGTGTCAGGTTAAGAGAAGGAAGTTTGTTTTAGGAAGCAATAATTAAGGAGAAGTGATGTGTATTCAATGGATTTTGTACAATTTAACATTTCTCTTCACAAAAGTGTTAGAAAAATATTATTTTATGTATAAAATATGTTTAACAAATGACAAGTAGTACTTGCCTACAATTCATGCAGATTGCAGCTTAGATTTCATACGCCATTCATTTGTCGATGATTTTTATATTTTCAGAAGTCTCGAGTTTGATTACCCTTAGCCCCATTTTTCATATATGCATTTTAACCAAACAATTGAGGCATTTTCACTGATGTATTTTTTGCGCTAAATTGAATGGTACTAATTCCGAGACGATAGATGGGTATAAAAGTTTAGAAACTATAAGAGTTTCCTGTACAAATTCGTAAGTGTGCGTAATTGTGCATCTGTTATTGCTAACTAAATAAGTGAGGCATTGTTTTCTTTGTTATTTTAAGCTGGGTCGAATGAGTCTATACACGAGTTAATAAGACGAATAGTTTAAAAGTTGTAAGCCGTTTTATGCGTAAAAAGAAGTATATTTGTCATGGTTGACACCTTTTACTTTGCTATTTAAGGACTATCTGAGCATTTAAGGTACATTTCCCGAGGAAATTGTTTTTACAGAATTGAATGAGATAAAATAGGAATTGATATAAATAGTTTTGAAGTTACAAGATTTTTTTTTCATAATAAGTGCCACTCAATTTGTATATATCGAAAAATCATTTCAACTTTTGAAATATATGCCCTTTTAATTCGGTTTTGATCTTATTCGATTAAACAAAAAAATATATCGGAAACAATACCTCACTTGTCTTTATAGCAATATAAGATATGTAAATAAGTACAAGTATAAACTTATACTTTTTGTACGTAAAACACTTAAAACTTTTAAACTATTAGTCCGATCGTCTTGGGATTGGTCACGTATAATTTAGCATGGTGTTACATGTTTAGCATTACGTGTTCAGATAGTTCCTGGATATCAATTTTCATTGTAGGTATAAGTCGTGTTAAGAGAAGTACTGTTTATTCATAAAAACTGTTGCACCTTTTGAACTACTTGTTCTATTAACTTATGTATAGTCTCTGTAGAGGCTGTTGGTTGCGACAGCTGAGATAGCATGAAAAGCCGAGGTAGAAGGATCGAGGATTGAATCGAAGACCGAAGGTAAGAGGACGAACCGGAATAGTTCCTGCGTGGATGAATACCGGCGGAGGAGCACAACCGGCGGCCAAGGCAGGGAGTAAGGAGGCTGATGTCCAGTACTTAAGGAGATGACAGTTTGGGTTGTTGTGCAGCGACCGAGACTTCGTACCCGATATTCTGTTTCTACCCGGTGACGCCCACCTGCAGTATGAGATATTTACAATCGAAAGTTTAAGTTTTATTTGTTCTTTTAATAATATCTTTTAAATGTTTTTTTAACGAATAACTTGTTAATTGGAGTTTGTCAGTTTCTTGATGGTTTGTTATCTTTTACTATTAAATAGGATGTTTCATTGCCATATTGTTTCATTTGACGTCTTACATTCCCATCACCGAAACTTATACAATTAGTGACCTGTGAACAAATGCGTATATTTCTGTTTCTGCAAACTGCATTTGAGAAATTCTACTAGTTGACGGATTACGGAGAAATGCTGGTACGTTTCAAGTTTTCACGGGCAAGCAACGACAACGGAAATGGTTTATGGAACTCCGATACGACTGCCTGGAGAATTTTTATGTCCGTCTACTGGTACAGCAGATCCCGTAAACTTTGTCGGAAAGCTAAAAGAGACCATGTAGGAGTTGCTGCCTGTAAAGTCCAGACATTAAACTGCGCTATTTTACACAAATATAGCCAAAATAGGGGATAGTCCGGCAGTGGACTGATCGTGAACGATTCCCAGCAGAACACCGAAGTCAAGCATCACTGGCTGCCGTCAGTGTGCGGTATTGTTCCTCGTTGAACTGTTCTACCGTAAAGTTCTCCCCTTCGCGTGCAGGTCGTTGAACTACCGAAGCGGGGGCAGTACCGTCTTTACGCATGGGCACACCTGGGCAGTGCCCGGGGGCCCCAGGCACTCAATGGGCCCTTGAGAATCTTACTTTTTATATATTGCGTTTAAAAAAGCTAAGAATAAACAACGTTGCCTTATATATTTTTTAAAATAAATATGTTCTATTATATAAAGTGCACATTTTTTCTACAAATAGTGATAGATTATCATGCGAACACCAATAATTTGAATAATTTGTCAACAAGAAAACTTAAAAAAGGCAACCCGAAATCTATTTTTCAACGTTCCAATGAAAACTTGAGGTATTTGGGCATTTAAAGATGTTTAAATAACTGTTTAGTTTGAAAAAATAATTCATACCATTTTAATTTATTTTAATTTGTTATACCCTTATGTTTATTTAATTTAATTATTTTAAGTAACTTTCATGATTTTGAAAATTACTTTATTATTTGAGGATTACAACTGGGTAGCATCTCAATTTTTTTTCAAATTATACATAGTTTAAAAATGCATTTTTTTAGTTTTGGGGTTATCAAAATATGTTTAAGTTTGTTAAAATTATTGCATCATATCTTAAAAATGATTTATTTTAGACATCTGAAGTTTTTTTAGGTCGTTTTTAAACATTATTATATGTTATAGGGGTCTAAAATATTTTTGTGCCCGGTGGCCTTGCATGCTATTAAGACGGCCCTGAGCGGGGGTGCCATCCCCTCTGCAGAGGATCAAAATTGTGATGGTATGTCTTCGGATCATCCTCAGGGATGTTTCCAAGATCGTCGCTAATAGCCCATTGTGCAGCTCTAGTACGTCGTATATGAACTACATCAGCAAGGGCTAACACTCATAGCATGGCTAACCCTTTCACTTAATTTATTACGTGATATTAATTTCGTTAAATTTGTTTCAGGCTCACGACCTGTTAGAATTTATAACTTACAGGAAACTCTTAGGAATGGTAAAATTACGCGTACATTAAACACAAATCACTATAATTAAACTTCCTAGAATATTAAGCCTGTTCACACATCGCCTCCTAAGCATAACATAAGCGGAAGGATACACCGGAAGTTTTTAAATATCTTCCTGTTTTAGGCAGGGACCGATCAAGACTAATTCAGGCCCAAGGCCCACAAAATTTTCCGGATCCCCTAACAAAATATTTTGAAATTAAATTTCTGAAGAGAAGTCCTAACAATAAAAAGAATCTATTGAATCTATTCAAGAGAAACATTCTAAAAAAGTTAGAAAAACTGTTTCTTTCAGTAATTTTTTTTTTTTTTTTGAAAAGTAATAGTGTGAACTGTTTACTAGTTTTTGACGTCCCCCAGAAAGTGTGGGCCCTAAACCCGTGCCTATTGGGCCTAGGCGATAATCAGGCCCTGGTTTTAGGAAGCTTGTTATTGTTTATATTCAGTCAACCATCCATACACTTCAAATGGCCCAGTAGCAGGCCCGTCCCCAACGGGGGGTGAGAGGGGTGTCTCACCCCCCCCCCAGCGATATCATCTAGTCGGCATTTTTTTTTTTCTTTTACAAGCCAAAATCCCGACTTTGCCGAAATTCTTTCATTGTCGGATATTTCATCGGTGATAAGATTTAAATGGATTTCAATGTTATCTAAATTTCGTTTCGGGATTCGCGATCGCAACACTCGAATACGCCATCTGGGGAGAGACCGGTTTCATGCCTTTAGCCCTTCTCCCTTCCCTCTCCTCCTCTTTTCAGTTGTATAGGAATGTACTACGATATTTTCCCTTTTCTTAATATTTTTCCTTTTTACTTAATAAAAATATTTTTTAAAATTTCCGTGATACTTTTCTTTAGAACTATGTTTAATGTAGTTTTCAGTTCCATATAGTTTTTCAAGTTAAAAGATTTTAATCTATATGAAAATCAAGAGAGAAACTAACGTACTTCCTTCCTCTATGACTTTCCACACGCTAATGGGGAAAGCATGTGAAGTGTTGCCATAGGAAAAGAGTTCTGCTCTACGCCACCTGCAGCCCATTTCGATCGCCAATCCCACTCGGCAAATCTTGTTGTGAAATGTGTTTTTAAATTTAGTTTTTTTTCCCTCCTCCAAGAGTAACCATTTATGGTAATTCAAAGCAAGATGATCGATAATTCAGGCCAAAATCCCGACTTTGCAGAAAATTTTTCCTTATCGGATATTTCATCGGTGATGAGATTTAAACGGCTTTCAATGTTATTTGAATTTCGTTTCGGGATCCCTGACCCGACTCGGCAAATCTTGTTGCGAAATGTGTTTTTAAATTTAGTTTTTTTCTTTTCTCCTCCAAGAGTAACCATTTATGATAATTCAAAGCAAGATGATCGATAATTCAGGCCAAAATCCCGACTTTGCCGAAATTCTTTCAT